TGCGCCAGCTGGCATTAGGTACAGAACACCATGGTGTAGTACATGAGCTTTGCTGTCAATTCGGTTCAGGTCTAGAGATGGGGAAATATACGACGTTGTTGTCGCGTAATGTCGCTGTTTAGTGCACACTGACTTTTCCCGTCCACACACCACGTCATTTACTCTTCTCTGCGTGCTTGTGCGCTTATGAACTCTTTGTGTTCCCTCTGTTGACGCTTCAAAATCGCTCTATTGACACTGCAAAATCGCTCTGTTGACGCTGCAAAATTGCTTATCATCTCCCTCCCTCCCTCCCCCCCCCCCTCTGTCTGTCTGTCTCTCTCTCTCTCTCTCTCTCTCTCTCTCTCTCTCTCTCTCTCTCTCTCTCTCTCCCCGTAGCTCTCTCCCTTTTGAAATTCGCTTCCATAGAATTGGGCACCATTGCCCGTTTGGCCTTGCGAAGTAAAATGAAAATCAACAACAACAACAACAACACCCCTACTGATATGCTGGACATCAGGGACACAGTATTATGATGCCAATAGTAACGTAGCCCGGGTGTGACGTAGCCCGGGTGTGACGTAGCCCGGGTGTGACTGATAGTCTGATACTGGTTTGGATAACAAATCCTTGGTGGTCTACCCACTACATGTACACGTAAAGTCACTTGCCCGCCACAAGCCTTTCCTGAACAGACGGAAAAGCGCATCTACTGGCGTATGATGTGATGACGTCAGTAGATGATATGACTGGCGATTGTATTGCCAGAAGAGTCCACTACCCCTTTGGCTTGTCCTGTAAGCTCCAGAGCTTATACTCTTGATATTACCAATACTAGTACATTCATTGCAGATACAATCATGTACTGTATCAAGATTAGAATAGTGTCTGTGCTGGTACATACACTGATGGATCTCATGGTCATTCAAAGATTCTCAGGCAGGCTATCTGTACAGCATTCTCTAGCTGCTCCACATCCAGATCGACATGGTCAGTGATCCGGTTGAGAGGGTGCTGAATCAGGCACTGGTACATTGTACGTGCAGATCTGGTTGAAATAACTGGGTTGTGATTTGCCCGGCTGTATGACTCTGAGCGTACTTCACCTACATGATTGTGCACTTGTAAAGCCAAACCAGGGTAGAAGACCAGGCTCAGAAGAATCTGAAGAAAAGTCCTTTCAAAGATTCAACTCAAGGCTTCTGATCCGGGACACTGTAGTTGTGGGCAATCATTACATGTACATGTAGTAACAAGCACTTCGTTCAAAAACCTTACAAACACTCAGTGCTATAACGCTAGATGAAAGGTAACGGCCAGACAAGTCTTTACACATACACGTGTGTATGCTATAGGGTTTGATATTTTGACGGAATTGTTTGGTGCGGATTCAAGCCAGTGGCAACGCCCAACGGATGTCTCTTTAAAGCATGCCTGCTGTCGATACAATGTGTGCAAGGGTACCACGGTAGGTAGCGCTGATTTTCACTGTCAGCCATGAGTCACTGTCATGGCTGGCACTGGCAGACGTGCACGGGCGCCGCGGGTGTTAGGTATAAAGTCTGTGACTTCTCATGTTACTACAAATTACAATAGTACATCAACCGGAACTGTAGAAGGAAACTGTTAGGGACGTAGCCGAGGCAAGCCAGGAAACCAGCCGTGCACATGTATACACACTGATATGGACCAACTAGCAAGTAGATCTACATAGTCATTGTGTGTATTACATGTAAGCTCTGGTAGGATACATGACTGCACTATTGGTACTAGCTGCTGTACATGTACATGTACATAATGACGATAGTAATTACAGTTACGATAATACAGTTACATGTACAATTCGCTTGGGCAAGGCGCTCTCGTCTACTGTAGATCTACTCTTGAGAAGTCGTGGAACTTTATAGTCCTGTGTGGACAAAACTGCGTGGCTTATGGCATGTGCGTAAAATAACTCTTATGGAGTTATGAAGCTACACAAGAGAGATTGAAAGCTTTGTCACAACTCTGAGTTTCACGTATTACTACGATCATCATTCATCAGGCAACTGCATCCTTCTTGCATTTAAATGCAGTTTACAGGGTTATGGGCCGTTACACGCCCGATTGGTTGAGAGACTCACCTACTCTCCCCTGACTTACTTGTGAGGTCTGCATTTGCCACTATTGCACTAAGGTGTACAAGGCATAGGCATAGTGGTGGCCTGCGGAAGCGAAGGCTAGTTTGTGTGTTTCTGAACATTCAAGCGATGCCAACGCGAATCCCGCGAATTATTATTATTATTATTATCAGGCAACTTGAAATAAAGCTATGATACTGGATAGTGCGGCGGAAAAAATACTGGATAGTGCATGATTGTACACAAAATGTACGATCATGTAAATAGTACATCATTACATGTAATGCTGTTCCATTTGCTAAAGACGTGGGCGACTTATCGCTAGTACAGTACTGTCACGTCAGTAGTAGACTGTTCACACGACAGTCTTTATTGTAATCTCTGTGGCCAGGTGTCGGTAGATCTCCTCTGTAAAATTAGACTAATCTGTGAGCCTTGCAAGACTCCAACTTCCAAGAGAGATTCCTGCATACAGCTCAATGGCTGTACGCCCTTATGAATTGTTCATGATTGTAGAGACCAACACAAGGTAGGGATGGTGCTTGTTGTGGTCTCTCCAGTGTCGAGTCTACCATGTCAGATGCCTTTTCAAGGCTTTTGCGGTGGTTTGTTTGTCACCAAAATGTCATAGTCGAGTGACTTCTAACGCGTGCAGGTAACTCGGCGTGATTGTGGCATGCAACATGTCGAGAGTGTGCTGCAGTCACGCTGCACGGGGCTAGGGGCAGGGTTTCCGCTGATTGTGTTCTCCTGAATGAGTTTGCTTACAACGCATCCTGGGGTGCATCCGGAGCACCTAAGGCTAAAGCTGTGTTCACAACTGGCGCGTGGACGCGGTGCGCTTGCGGTTCATGCGCGTCCAAACCAGCGCTCAGCCTTTCACAAAAAACAGCAATCCGAGTCGTATTTAGCGCGTGCGACACCTTCGAGTACTAATTTTTTGACCCCGCCAGTCAAAGTGACTGGCATGTACGCTGATACGTGCCTGATACGCGCTGAAAATTCCAACATGTTGGAAGTTCCATTTCGGCGCGTTTCCATACGCATGGCGCCCCAAAAGCCAGCAAAAATACGCACAAACGCGTGGTTTCACGCGTACACGCGCCAGTTGTGAACACAGCTTTAGTCCTTCCTCGACCTCAGTCAGATGCACTGGTGCTATGCATTTCTTGTAGTTGTAAGTCTTGTACTTGTACTTGTAGACCCTGCACTACAGTACAGTAGTAGCAAGAGTATAGCCCAGGTAAAAAAGGGCCCAGGGCCGGGGGTTACTCTTGCCGTCTTGGTAATCATGGTAATGGTAGTACTGTCAGTAGTAGATCTACTACTAGTACTAGTACATGACTACATGACTGTACGTCTTACTTGCCAGCATGCACGGCAGCAGCGATCAGCTGTTCGACTGAACTTCTGAAGACAACTAACTAATGCTTCTTGCTACGGTTCAACTACTGGTTCAGTGAACACTGGTGACATCGGTTCGGGATCCATCTGCGGCTGGCTACAGACTCATCAATCAGTACAGAGTCAGCATACGGCCGTTAGTGATCCCACATACTTCAAAGAAGTAATCATTAGCACACTGTCTGTCTGCAGCTGAGCGAAAGACGGTTTTCAGGTGAACCAATGACGGTGAATGCCGTCGACTTCACTGCACCCGCGATATTTTGCCCACCAAAGACAGAAAGTAGGTGTTCTCCGCTAGCTGTGGAGCCTTGGGTTTCGCTGACCTACTCGACGAGTTGAACTTGAAGCGGCACCCATTGACCAAGTCCGTTTTCGCTTTCCTTGGCTGAGTTTTCTTGTCTTTGTTGCGCCCTGCGGGCGGACAGCAGAGATCTGCGCGCTCACGCATCCCTCCATATTTGCTGAGAGAATGTCGGAGCTGCACTTGATGCGCCCGTCGGTCAAATCAGCAGTATGTAGCGTGTAGCTGACCGACATTGGCAATACCGGCGAGTTAGACCGACCGGCTTGCGCTCTGGAAAACGGGTCGGTGACTTCAGTACGGGAGCGGATCGGGGCAGGCTGACCTCCGGAGCTCCTCGTGCTGGACCACGAAGTACATGACCTGTCACAGCAACACGGTTGTCTGAGAGAGCCAGTTGTGTGGACACTGCGCGGTGGCTGCCCTCCTTGGAGAGCAAAAATGGAAGCGCTGAGCGACGAATCAAGCATGACAGCTGCGGACGAAGCGCAGAACCTTGAGCAGTGCGTGGATGTGGTTGTTGAGATCGAGGGGGGAGATTCAACAGCACGACCGTCGCCTGACTGTGCGTCCGAGTGGCCCGAACTGCCCGTGGAGGACATAGAGCTAGACAAACCAGCCGTTACTAGCGCACAACCAGTGTGCGCTGGCGAGCAACTGTGCGGCAAGGCGTACTTGAACGTGTTCAACGATGACTATCTCCGCGATACCGAGGTGCGCGTGCACGTGGAGTTGGAGGGAGACTCATGGTGTTGTCCTCGCCTTGTTCAGTCCAAGCCCACACCTGGACAGCAGCAACAACAGCAGCAACACACTGTGAATGTCGTAGCTACAGCACCAAGACGGCAATTATCTAGAGAATCATTGAACAAGGTCACGTCAGTCACATTCGAGGATGACGACTATCCGAAAACATTCCACTTCTTGAAACGAACGTCAGTGTGGCCGAAAAGGGAGCGTGGCTCAGTGTACTCCTCCACTGGCATGTTTTCCAACCGATTGTTGAAGAATAACTTGGTGAAAGAAGGCCTTGGGTTGATTGCGAGCCCTGTCGCATCACCATCACTTGAAGAGAAACAACACATTGCTGACCCGCTGTTGTTATCTGCAACAAAAGACACCCCAGTAAGTGTAGTGAGTGAGGGCAAACCGCATGAGATAGAGACTAGCACAGCGGAGCTACAGCCATCAGACAGCAGCACAGCCGACCGCGTGACGTTTGGTGACGGAACTCTCCTTGGCATTGGCCGGCACGTATGGAGGTTCAAACTCGCTCTTCCAGCCACCCTGTGCAGCTCTGCTGAGGTGACCTGTGCCGATGGTATGGGCGGGGTGAGGTATCGTCTGAGGACCGTCATGACGATATGTCGTCATGACGGTGCCATCACAAGGATGTCGCCGTGGACACCAGTTACCGTAGAGCAGATTCTGAATGTCCCGGCCTGTCAGTATCAGGTAAGATGTTTGTGTGTGTGTGTGTGTGTGTGTGTGTGTTTGTGTGTGTGTGTGTGTGTGTGTTTGTGTGTGGGTGCGTGTAGGGATTCACTGACCAGAAAAAGCCACTTCATAGCTGTGTGGTGTAGACCAGGCTAAATAGTGGCGGTCAATTCTTCAGCCTTGCAAGCTGTTGAATGATGCAATCCCAGCACAAGCTGCTATGGCTTGAAGCCTTCTGCTGTAGCATCGCTATCATCGCCTCCGGCGATGGGCGTCAAATGGTGTGTGTGTGTGTATACGTGCCACTGTACAACTGCAGCCGTGGTCAAAGAAATCCGACCTGTGAGTCAGAAGTAGCACCGCGTTTCCATTTCAATTACATCATGCACCATTCAAAACCGATCCGTGGGCCGGATGCACGCCTTGGCGCTTCTTTCCGCTCACGGATTGGATTTCTTTGGCCACGACAGTATGTTCTTATTATGTCGCACTGGCACCAGCTGCACTGAGGTACCACCCTAGTGTAGCATGTACCACCCTAGTGTATCATGTATGCCCAGTGCAAGAGAGTTCACAAGTCTGCAGGTGTAGTAGATGTTCACCCCGGGTGACTGGTTTTCTATAGGAATGATAGTGGGCAACATCTGAACGAAACAGATCAAGACGTGCACTTGTTGTTAACCACTCAATCCACATTACACGTACTGGCGAAGCCATGTCAACCAACCCCCAAGGCCCGCCGGGTACCCACACATACAGGCACAGCCATGAATTATAATGTTTTACAGATTTCCGGCCAGTTGCACCGACCTTTCCGCACCCGTCAGGATGTCCAGGGTACCCCAGTGAGCCAGCAGCAAGAAAAAAAAGATGCAGCTCCCAACACGTCATTGCAGTGTGAGAGAAACACAGGCTGCATGGAGCGTGAGAGAAACACAGGCTCTCCGCATAAAATTAACGAAAGAAAACACTCTGTACTACTGACGTACCAAAATGCATCTTAGTTTTCATTTGAAGTAATTGTAACAGTTACAGTCAGGTGTAGTGCAGTCATATCCCAGGTCATGTCGACGTACAGGCATACAATGTAGTATCATATAGCTTTTATAAGTCATATCCAAGGCCAAGTTGGTGGGCACAGTACTTTTAAGTACTTTATATGCAACTTTAAAAAATCCAATATGGAAGACTGTATGAACTAGTAAATATCTTGGTGATCATCTGTCAAAGAAGGTGTTCCACTAAACGAAACATGAACACTTGAGAATTTGAGATTGTGTTGTTTGGTCAACAAGTAGTGAGTTCCACTGGCAACACACTCTGGCCTGCTCCAGGCCAGTCTGTCCCTGTCACTGATACTGTATATGATCAGCGGTGGACAGAGAAATTCCACTTTCCGTCTACGGCTATGCAAACTACCAGTCGACGAGCGGTGACTGTGGCCGTGTGGTATTGTATGAGCTGAGCCGTGGGTTCTTGGCCTGCGGCGGGGACTACTGCGGGGACTACTGCGGGTTCTTGGCCTGCGGGGACTACTGGGCAGTCTGGTTGTTACCCTGCTGTAGCATGATGCACGTCAGCGCCTCGGTGATAGTACCAAACGTAGGCCGACGTGTGAACTCACCCGTCCAACACAATGTGATCAGCTCGCGGAGATCTAGTGGCCACGTCGGAGGCATTAACATCCGCTTGCCAGCTTGAACGAAAGCAATAACCTGGACAGAAAAGGAACAACACAGAAATTACGAGGGACGTCAATTTTCAATACGCAATCCATGTGCAATGCTGAGTAGATGCAGGGTGTCTTACACCTAGTGCATGGTCTACTATTTTAGGTAAGTTATCAGAGTTTAGCATCCAGCCTCACTGGCTATCCTACGGCAACTGAGCTCTCCAGTACACACCCAAGTGTAGAACTGAAGGTAAATGGAGAGCTTGTTAAATTGTCTGAGCACTGATATGACAGCTTGAAGCGTGCAGACCGCCGCCTCTCCAAAGAATCTCACCACCTATCAGGTTCATTGTATTCAAATCATGTCCGGTTGTTAAGTAACAGTTACCATGGTTACCTCTCTGGTGTAGCGTAGCTCGTTGTAGGGAAGCTGCCCGGTACATTGTGCAAGCTCCCACATGGTGACGGCGAAGGCAAACACGTCACAGGCCACACGATGCCCGGGCGGGTGCGGACGCAATCTGCGCGGCGACACAGCGATGAGTCGACCGTGGTGGTTGCGAAGCGTGTTTGGCGCCTGGGCTGTTGTAGGCTCAGTTTGTGCCGCCGATGGTGAACTCGTACTGCTGCGAGCCGTCAGGTTTGTTATGTACTGGTAGCACTCTGGAGCTGTCCAGCGAATAGAACCGGGGTCATCGGCCTGGTGAATATCTGTCAGAATGAGATCAGTTGCATACCACAGGAAATGACATCCATTGTCAGTGTTCTGGGTGAGTGGTATGTCTATATGTGCCAGACTTCAAAAGCATATGCAGTACTGTACAGAACCCCCGATGCATCACTGTGCCGCATGGATGACATCACTGCGCCGCATGGATGACGGCATGTACTAACAGACTGTGGATGGAATCATGCAGTGGAGGTTTGAACCTACCAAAGTTTTAAAAATCCAGGTTTGCACAGAGGTGCAGTGTGAATATCAGGTCACAGTGGCACCATCTCAGGCTACTCAGAGTTCTGTTTGAAAGCAATCATAAGAAGACTATGATTGTCTGGAATGTACAGTGGACTGCATCCTACAAAGGGATGTCCTTTGACCATGACCTCGGTGGGAAAGTAGTGTACGCGTGGCCAGCACAACGAATGCAATGATAGCCGCAATGATATGGAGTGAGATGTGATGGATAGTGGATATGGGCTGGTGTTGACATGGACACTATGCAGTTTTTCACAAGCCAAGCTCCCCTTGGTGCAGCCAAACACATGCAATCGTGACATGTACGTGTCTTACTGAGGATATCGGGTGGCAGCAGTCGATCCCAGCCTGTAGCACAGATCACTACTCGTTTCATGACCGGGTTGAGATAGAGGTTGGTGAGTCGCAGGTTTCCATGGTTGACTCCGTAGCTGTGCAGCGCCGATAGTCCCTGTGATACTTGTAGTAACTAGACATGGAGCACACACATATGGAAACCTACGCCGAGTGATTGCCATGCCATCCTTAGGGGTAACTGCTATCCTATGTTTACTATCACATCATTATGTACACATTTAACGGGGGGAGGGGGTATGAACACCATGCAGCACTATCGTGTTAGCACCATTGGTGTTAAACCTTGTTGCTCTGATTATATCAGCTGGAACGAACCTACAGCATACACTTGGTAGCGTAGCACAATTTCAGTCATTCTGTTTCCTCATCTATCCTGGCCGGATTGTTGTAGAAAGCAATAATGTTGCTAAGCTTGATCCGGCCCTGTGCCGGGGCACTACCGGCACAACTCACCATGTTCATTTTCTCTGCCCATGACCAGTGTGCTTGTCCAGCCTTGATGAGCTGGTGCACTGACGTACAGTTCGGCATGGCACTTGTTATGATCTTCAAGTGTGGCTCCAGCTGCATTGCCACTAGCTCTTGGATGTGCGCTCGGAAGTTACTACCAGCACTGCCGCCGCTGCTGCTGCTGCTGCTTTCACTGGCCGTGCCACTGCCTGTCTTGGTCTTGCGAGGAGATGGCGAGGACAAGTGCCTGATCTCTTCAGCATGCCGCGGAGCAGAGGATTTTCCTGGTGCTTTGGCCGTGTGTGATGTTGAGTAGTGATGGTTGATTTTGGATACAACTTTCCTGTACATAGTGCAGATACAATCATTATATCCATACACAGTCTTGCTAGCGCAATACCAGGATGTTTAGTCAAAGTAAATCCCCGACCACGCCGCCAGCCTATTGTGGCTATTGAAACAGGTGGTGTCTGAAACCAGGTTGACCCCTGGAAACTCGACACATGCATGGTCAAAGAAAAACGGTGGTCATGCAAGCCAGATTATCGCTGAAACTAGTTTGTCACTCCACTATGCAGGCTTCACTTTGTCTGTATAAGCAAGAATAGTGTCAGACTCGGCAACTGTGTGATCACCTGGCGAATGCCAATCCGCAGCAAACTTCAAGTGATTCGCACAGACTTTTAAATGAATGGCATGCCCAGTGTACACGGGTGATACCTTAGGCTTAGTGCTGTGTTGATCAGTCCACCGAGAGCGTGCTGTCGTATGTTCAGATGCTCTGGATCAATCTCCAGGCAAGCTACATCCACATGGGCACTTAACCACCGCGCTGGGTAGATTCTGCCGATGGCGCTTTCCCGCGGACAACTAAAACAAACACAGTACAGAAGCACGAGATCTGATGCACCAAACATTCCACGCTCGGTTAGCATTAGCTGGAAGTGCAACCACTTTGTGTGAACAACGGTCCCCCATTCTCAAAGATTGGTGTGGTGTGAATTCTTCTTGTGCTAATCTTTGTCCACCTGTCAAGTAGTTATACCAGCTGATGAGACTAAGGAGTGGTGCCGTTCGGGATATTCATGCAACCGTGCCAGTTTGTTGACTGAATTGCGGCTTTGTAGAGTGCATGACTTTGTGCAGGTGCGTAGCCGGCATGGGGCACGGGGGGCACGTTCACCCCCCCCCCCCCAAATTTCGACCTAGGTTCAGCATGCACATAATAACCATGGATGTCATGCACCTGCCATCCTACACGTATGCGGCCGTGCACATTCCCTAAAAGGGGGACCAGCTACGTCCCTGACATGGTGTACCTTTTGTCAATGATGATGTCTTTCTCCAAGGCTAGCATGTTATATAGCTCCAGTTTATCACGCGCCGACACCAAGTTGTCCAGCTCATCGATGTCCTCCTCATTCTCCGGCGTGTGAGTGAAGCGATGCAGCAATGTGGGTGATGGGTGGCCGCCGCCGTCCACTCCCTGCCCTGCTCCGGGGCCAGCGCTGGCGATCACACTGATCACCTCTGACGGTGCAGTGCTCCTGGCAGGACCGGCCGTCTCACTCAGCGCCGCGGCCATGACAAGCTCAGTTGTGATAGGTCCTGTGTAGACAATGATGGAACAGAGCAGACACTGCAGAATTACTTGTACTGCATTTCACTAGATGCCCCCCCCCCCCCCCCCCCCTACTCCAAGCAAGAACCATTACTTTATAATTTAGATAATGATAATAATTATCTCTGAGGAGTACGGTAGGTTCTACAGTGTAATGTAAGTACTTTTGCCACAAGTACAACAGTCAGTACAACTAGGCTGTTGAGCATGCTCAGCGATCTAGTGCACATGGAATCCCCTAAGGGAAAAAATATCCTTCTTTGATCTGGAATGAATGGACTAGTACTATGCCTATGGCTATGGTTCCTGACGCTCATGCAAACACTACAACGCGGGCCTCATTCTTACTTCACACAAAGAGGAGAACTTGTTTTTTTTGGGATCGTTCGTTTCTCTGCTCAGAGTAGTCACCATGGTCACTGCAGTGGGGTACAAGTGTCCTTGCCATGCATCGTCTAAACGCTAAAACCTCATTGCACCTGCTCGGTGGTGGAGCTGGAAGATTACCATGATTACTTACCGCGCTAACTCGCTGCTTGTTTGTTGAGACTGCGCAGTGAGGCTAACCACTATCGCTATGTCCAGGGCGGCACACTAACTAATTACTTCCCCGAGCTGATTGGAGTGCTGAAACAGCTGCTGGTGTCCGCTGGTTAGGATGAACTACCGGACTTGCTGCTGGGGTAATCCAAGTTGTGCAATATAAAATCCGTGTGTATTCGCTTTGGGACGCTGGTCTATGGCCGAATTCGACCTTGTGCAACCACGATCTTGCTATTGAGGGCCCTCGCCACATGCAAGTAGCTTCTCCTTCTAGAGGGCGCTGTCTTCACCAGCCACAATGTGTTTCTGCAACTCAACTTTCCTACGAACTACGTGAATGATTACAAGTATTTCGTTGTTCGTGCATTGGAAGTCGCCTGGCCAGCGCGTGCATTGTGTAGACTAGTAATAGTGCGTCTGCAATCTGGTACATGTAGTGGTATCGGATCGGCTGTCAACTGCATGCCCATCCGGAAAATCCCGGTCGCGACAGCATGCCCAGAGGTCGCGTACCCGAAGCCAACATCGCTCAGTTTGGTTCGAGAGTGTCATGGGTACAACAATTATGGCTGTTATGACCGTTATGAGATACTGGCACAATCTGCTAAAACTAAGCCGAGTCCGTGTTACTTGAGCCTTGAGTTGAGGACTTGTATGTAGCGGCATGAAGCTTGCTTGGCCTGCCTTTTAAAATGCCTAAAGCATGTGATGGGAAGCCGGGTCTTGTCCAAGCCATGAGCAAACCATTAGAGTGCAGGTTTAGACTATTGTATACCAGTAAACAGCATACGTGTACAGTCAGACCTCGCTTAACCGCACACATCCGTTTCCCACAAAAATATCCGGATAGGCGAGGGAACCGGATAACTGAACACCGATTATGTTGGATGCATCACGTATGCTGTAAATCTGTAACCAGCTATTTTCTTCCGGATGGCGAGGGATCCGGATAAAAGAGGACCGGATGAGCGAGGTCTGACTGTGCTAGGATAACACGCATGCCTCAGCCTGCTGAGGGAGGGACGACAGGGCTTCTTGCTTTCTTCTTAGGGATGATATGATGTAGCACTGAGACGTACAAAAAGTTTGAGTTGAAGATAGGTGAACGTGCCGTGCCGGTTTTGAATGAAGTGTTTTGACTGTTGCCTGTACAAGAGGCGGTTTGAGTTTTTTCTAAAAGTTGAAGATGGGTTGGGACTTAAACCCACAACTTCATGGTCAGCAGACAGCATTCAAAACCACAAGGCCAAAAAGGCAAAGATAAATCGTGGGCTTTTGATAAAAAGCACTACTGGCTTCAGGGTAAATTGTAGAACCATTGGAAAAGGCCAGAAGCCTCGCCAAAATTCTTACTCAACGGCCGGTCCGATTGTTCAGAAACCTTCACAGAACAATTTGCCATGCCCTAACAAGCCCTTCTATGTACTTTATTGTCCAAATTTCCCCATCATGATCTTCATACTTATAAAATGACTAAAACCTGATTGTTTGAAAATGTTTTTGAAATGGACTGTAGGTGTCCATTTCACCATGTTGATGTATTACCTTTAGTTGGTATCTTCTGTTGGCTCAGCTCTATGTGTGTCTCATGTTTACAGGTACCCAGAGAACACATGCTCTGCTCAGGAGAAGTGCATCGTCAGCGACAGCTGCGCCTGCCCTGGAGCACCTTTCAGCTGAAAGCCGGCCTGGAGCGCAGTGCCTACCCGCGCGGCTCTGCGTTCGCCGTGTCAGTTCACCTGAGCCGGCCGTACGCCGGTCTCGTGCAGTGGTACGTGCAGGCAGAACTTCTGCAGCGGATTCGACTGAACCTTGGTGGCAAGTCGGTACCTTGGGAGCAGAGGCAGAGTCAGCACAATGCTATGGCCACTGGAGGGTGAGTTATACTTCACCTCTGTCACACTGCATTGTATAATTCACTACTGTGGGTGCGGAGCTCCAAGACTGTAGTTCAACAAGCATGGCTCGGAGAAGATGTCTCCTCTGTGTACTGAGATATCTCTGTTGTGCAAGTTTTATTTCTTTTCTTTTCACACATCCAGCTGCTTACTTGCAATGGGTTAACCAGCTGTTTGGCAGTACATTCTGCACAATGAACAGGGCAATCTGTGGCATGATCACGGCAGAGACCATGCACTTAGTCACAGAATATTCCGGTTTTTAATTTTGTTTGTATGATTTGGGGCCATCTCATGAGAGGAATACTGAATGGCCCTGTGTGCAGTCAAATTGCCCTGTTAATTACGCTGATTGCTTTCTGATCTCCACGAACCTTTCCAAAAGTGTACTGCATTCTATTGTATTTTCTCCAGTCTGCTCCTGCAGTTCCATAGTCTGTGTGTTGAGAAGGCTGATTGCGGTACAGCTCGGGAGTTCCGCGGCAAACTGTCGCTCTGTGCACCCCAGAACATGCTGGCAACGTTCAGGCTACCGCGCGTGGCTGTTGAATACTTTGTTGAGGTAAGGCTACTTGGTCCTTGATAGTCTGCACTGTCTTTTCCAGTATGGTCGTTACAACATACCGGGATGCCTCTGTTGGTATGATTCGCAGCAGGACTGTCCTTTAATCACTTGTGATGATCCCAACAGTACACTCAAATACTCATACTGAAGTTGTATTACCAGCATTGCATCTTTCAGAACACTGTCCGGAACCCACCGGCTGCATTCAGGGCATGGTGTTACACCGTGCATGTAGGGACTATAATTATTATGAGGGTATGCACATCATGCCCACATCCTCCTGAGAAGCATTATTGGGCATGTGGCTCATGCCCACTGTATGCTTCTTGTCTCTGTGTGTGAAAACACCTGTAGGCTGTACAATCTTCCGGGGTTGAACTCTGAATCAACCTGGGTTCATTTTACCCTGCATGTACATTGTAATCATGTGATTCGTATAACCATGCCATTTCTGCTATCGTGTAGGTGAAAGTACGCCATAACTTTGGCAACAGCAAGAGATCCATAGTCATGCCAGTCGTGATCGGGACTAATCATGACAGACTGGAGGTGAAGATGGCGACAGCCGAGACCGTCGAGGAGAGGAGCATTGACGGAGTAGCAGAGCCTGAGACCCCGATGTCAAACTCAGCGAGTACGGAGGACCTGGATGTTGACACTGGTGGCTCCGAAGCTCCACAGACAAGCGAAGTAGCAGAGCCTGAGTCCCCGATGTCAAACTCGGCGAGGACGGAGGACCTGGATGTTTACACTGGTGGCTCCAAAGCTCCGCAGACAAGCGACGTCTAGTCCATAGTGTTGCAGTGTGTTGAGGCTGGCAAGGACAGGGAGCTGTGTGGAGCAATGACTCTAGAGCTGTGTGGAGCAATGACTCTAGAGCTGTGTGGAACAATGACTCTAGAGCTGTGTGGAGCAATGACTCTAGAGCTGTGTGGAGCAATGAATCTAGAGCTGTGTGGAGCAATGACTCTAGAGCTGTGTGGAGCAATGACTCTGCTGTGTGGACCAAGGACTCTAGAGAAGTGGAGCACACTGAGTTCGCAGAACGGGTGTTGTGCAATGCACACGCATGGGCACCTCACGTCTAAATCCTTTTGGATGTCGAGAATTACGCTCCTGTGCAGGCGCTAGGCATTGGGCCAAAGGGCCCAGAGTATGTATCAGCTCATTCAAATCCACATGATATTGGATGAGGTGATCCAACTCAAGATCTGACAGAGACATTCCCTCATACACATCGAGGCCGACTGCCAAGCTCATCCAGAACAAGATGAACAATGTGCAACCTACGCTCGTATTCAATCAGAATTCCCCTTGATAGTGCATATTTGGCTTTGCAATGAGCATGGTTGGCCGATGGGTCAAGCAACATTGCCTTTCCTGCCAGCTATTAATGGACTGTTCCCATTGAGATCTGAAGCTACGTAACGTTATTAGCAGCATGTGTCATTGAACACAGCTACTGAATGCAGATCGATTTGTCACTGAGTTACCGAATTTGTTATAAATCTATGCGACGATTATTAAATAATCATTGTCCGACTGAGAAGCTACGAGTTTACAGTTAGAGACCCGTGCCAAATAGACCCATGTGCTTGTTACTACAGAGAACCTAACTGTTACTTATTTGTGTGCGCACGGGTGTGTGTGTGGGGGGGGGGGGGGGGGGGGGGAGTGGGGCTGGCTGGCAATGACCGGTTTCTTTCAGCAGTCAACTTGATCAGATCGACTTGAATTGAATTGAATCACGATGACAAACTCCAAGAAGCCTCGGTGTACACCTGTTTGGCATTTATCCAGGTAGAAATTCACATGGCATTTCACAACACCTAATGGGGAAAAGGGCAGTTCCAGATACGCAGATCATGGATACATGCACAGTAAAGAGGAATCAGCAACACATAGAAGCTGATTGTTTAGTAACTGGTGGTGTTAGTGGACACTATAGCGGAACTTGTAGTTGCTTGGTCCTATTTCTTTTCTAGAAGCGTTAACGTAAGTCATATTTAGTCGAAATCAGTCTGCGTCAAAAATCAGCGAAGCTCAAGCTGTACACATCTGAGTACAATAAGCACCAGAAAACGTCGGAACAGTACCCACTTACCATGGAACCCAACATGCCAGACCCAACAGCGTGGGCACAGCTCAGCAAAATCAGCAAGCCCTACAACATTTCGTTTATAATGATGTTATCAAACCCAACGGCGTAGCGTGGGTACATCATAGCAATAACTTCAAAAATCCATGTCCTAAAAATGGTAAAATCAATTTGAATTGAAATGGGAGATGTAACATGTGTCTCTGAACATCTTCAAATTTCGTAAAATGTGTGTGTGTGTGTGTGTGTGTGTGTGTGTGTGTGTGTGTGTGTGTGTGTGTGTGTGTGAGAGAGAGAGAGAGAGAGAGAGAGAGAGAGAGAGAGAGAGAGAGAGAGAGAGAGAGAGAGAGAGAGAAAGAGAGAGAGAGAGAGCTGCTAGCTGTGGGTATAAGTAAAATTTCTGGGCTAGATATCAGTAAAACATTCTAACAGTTATAACTACATGGAAAGTAAGGAAAGTCTGCAAGAATTAAAACTTTTTTTGGAGCCTTCACATTTGACTGCGCCATCCGCTTCTTTTCCGTTGCTATATGTTCACAAGCTATTTGTTAGTTTATATGGTGTCCATTGTCACATCCATTAATACTGTGTGTTGTGTGCACTATAAACCAGCATCGCATTTTGTTGATCAAATCAGGTGAGGTGCAAGCAGAAAGGTGACTGCTTCCATGACATGCCACGTGACCATTGTTGAAGAGCTGCTACTAATGAGTGCTATAGCTTTTCGTCTCCAATGAAACCATTGTAAATGTGCTCCATTATCGCTCACGCTCGTGTGGCTCAAGATAATCCATACCGAGTAGATCGAAGACGTCCTTCTCACAGGACACGGGCAGTGGCACACCTTCCGACACCTTGTCATTCCCCTACAGTACAAAGATACAGCAGCACAGAATACTGAGAATAGTCACATGGTGCTGGTACTAATACCGTGGACTGTGCATGCATGTAGTGCTCTCCGAGCCAAAATATCATTAGGGATACCAACTTACGGTGGCACTCTGTTTCCAGCTCGACAAACACCTCGTGAACTCCCGTCAGTGTCGCTCATGGAGGCGCAGAACACGCGCTGAAGACCGGAGTATCACTGTTGGTTTCCCTAGTGATGTTTAGGCGTGGAGAGCACTACATAATGCAGTGGACTCGGAGCACAAATTCCACTACCCCGCTCAAGCTCAACTGTTGAGGGGTGAATTCAACTAAACACGACCGCTACCCTAAACAGACAGAGACACAAAACCATGATCGCAGAACAGATTGCTCCACTTACCCTGCGAACAACACCAGTACGCAGAGCATGCTCCGAGAGTGACATTCCCTAAACCACAACAACACAGTCAAAGTCAAAGTACATGTATAACAGAAGACAGGTCTTAACAGTTAGAACCAATCAACAGTGCAGCATAACTTCACCGCCGGTACAAGTTCAATATTATGTTTGCACAACTATTGGATGCTAAACAAAACATTTCAGGAGCACAACAAAGTGAGGCTTACTAGTATTACAAAACCCAATAACAGTGGACTATGATTGTTGCTTTCCACACAGCCTAGACATCTGGGATAGCAAAACTCTAGCAGCAGATCAAGTTTGCATGCTGAGTTTTCCTGGCTACGGTAACCAGCAAAGTGGTAGTGCGTTACACGACAGGCAGCATACAAGTCAATCGACTCCGTGCTCTATTTACCATGTGTCTCGCCTTGCATCGCATTGATCGGTTGAACAGGCCAGATCCTGTGAAGTAGAGTAGCGCGCAAGGCAGCTCTTTGTACGGTACAGTGATTATATCCAGGCGACGATGCTGCAGCAAAGTATACCACATAACACAAGAGACTGACAAGCAGGTTATGGACTCTGATCTACATGTACATCTATAGACATTAGTAGGTATGCTGTGATTGGGGAAACAACTTATCATGTAGATGATATCAAGTCAGTTCACGATCAACTCACTACCTGCATGGATGAAGAGTCAAGAAACGCCTCTTTCTAAATGTGTCCGCCAAGGTCATAGAAAGGGCAGATGCAGGGAGTGCGGTTCAATACACACACAGAGACACACACACATGTAGATCATAGCGATGATCACAGCTACCTCTTCTACTAAGTAAACTGCGTGGTATATCCCATCGGAACAAACCAAAGTCTCTAACCTCCACACCTACACTAGACACAACCGGTGACCACTACATTTACATTTACAATTATTTTATTTTACATCGGACGCTCAACAGGGCAGCTGCACAACAAATGCTCTACTACATTCCTACCAGGCGGTCTGGGCCAAGTCGACACACTCCAAAGTACTTCTGCTGATCTCCGTTGAATTCGGCCGAGACCAGATCATCTGTTAGAAAATCTGCAGACAGATTGCGAACAGAAATGGTATTTCAGTGACAACAACTTAGTACTAAAGCAGCTACAGGCATCTTTGTTAACTTGGTAATACAGTAAAAGAGGCAAGTAATGATACACTCAGAGAATGTAGTTATTGAATGGCTCAAAACAATGCAACCTCCCACCTGTTTCATGGAGCTTTTCCAGAAGAGGCTTGAAGATGTTGTGATGTGAGCGGCCATCCGGGTGTGTAATGAGGATATCAACGTCGCCACAAGTAGACTTGCCGCGGCGATACGAGCCACACGTCATCAGCTCCAAGCCAGGAATTATCGCAAGTGCTGCAGTCGAGACCTGAAAATACCGCAAAGGACCAGCAGACAGAAGCCGTAAACGGACACTAATCCCACTACAGTATTAATGTTAGGAACTCTTTCCTTGAGCATACTGGCACAGAAAGCATGGTAAACGGAAAAAATGAAAACGAAAAAAGCTCACAGGTCACCACAAAATAGATACAACCGTGTAAATAGAAGCAGCAGCAGAAGCGGCAGCCTACCATGGCTTCAATCTCAGCGACTTCACTCCGGGGCATGCGCTTATTCAGGTCGTCATACAACCTCAGCCCGACCACCTGTTGACGGTTGAGTGTAGCTTTCTGACGTATGTCGTCGAGTGTGCGAAAGCCCTGCAACCAAAGAGAACTCCGTGTCAACGGCAAATGCCCTGGTCGCAAAAAAAACCCATTTATTTCTCTATCGGTAACGGAGACTGCTGTGGTTCGGCCATGTAGTGAGGGAAGGCGCAGAATCGTCCTCTTTTCAAGCCCTCCAAATGTCAATCAACACAACAGACATACGACGACCCTGCGGACGACCATGTCTGAGATGGATCGACGTCGTCAAGAAAGACTTACAATGCATTAATCTCTCGCTTCTGGATGCGGTGCAATATGCTTCTGATAGAGCTGCTTGGCTCGAAATTGTCAACAGATGTGTTACCTCATGCAATGAGTGATATGCGAACTGTCATTATTATTATTATTTCTTGATCACGGCCTCAGCTTTGCAGATGCAGGATAGACTGCTGTTCCCTTTGATATATCCTAGCAGAAGACATCGGGCCTACAGTTGTAATGACCAGCACAATGATAGTATAGCCAGCCGGCTATTCGTATCTGAGTACACGAGTGCTGAGAGTTGAAAAATGGCTGTACCTAGTACTTTTTAACAATACTTCTAGGACCCGCAGGTCAGGTCATACATCCACGGCAACAGTGAGAGAGAGAGAGAGTGAGAGAGAGAGAGAGAGAGAGAGAGAGAGAGAGAGGGACAGAGGGAGGGAAGGAGGGAGGGAGAGAAAGATTTGACTGCAGCCCTGCGAGTAACCCTGCTCCAGACCCTGTGGCCCACTAGAGAACTCACCTCAGCATACCACTTCTTGGCAGTCTCCGGCCCAGCTCCCCAGATGCCCATGAACACCTGCACCACCTCCATCTTGGGGTCAACATGATCGAGACGCCTCAGGTTACCACTTTCAATGATCTCGACGACTTTGTCAGCTATTCTCTTGCCAACACCACGGATAGCCTGCACCTCCTGGTATAGAGTACAGTCATGGGGAAAGCAAGGGCTGAAGTGTCTTAGCGTACAGACAAAACTCAAAAGGTCACTTCATTTGTAACGTTGCACGTACATGTACATGTACACAATTTTAAACAGTGGACCAAGGCTATGGTCTATGGCACTCTATACAACTACATGTTTGTACATTGTACAAATCCGTTGATCCCCGAGCTGCAGAGAGTGCTCAATGTCAGAGACAGAGCTTAGTACATAAACTGTCTGATGATTGCCCAACGGCATGAAACTCAGAGTTACAACCAACCTGAACGTCCTCCGCTGAGTCTGCTATGTTTGTACATTGTATGTAACTAAGTTATGTAAGGCTAAACGGTAAGGCTATGAGACTATGTGTACTACAACTGGACCCACTAGCCATCTTACTGCTACAGGAGTTTGAGTTATCCCTAAAACAAGGTCCGAAGAGCCAAATTGATAAATCCTCTCGCCAATGTACAAACATTCACTGGTACAAACTTTGGTACAAGTATGTTGTCTTCGGCATTTCAAATCATTATTAAACAAACTTGTCTGGCAGTAGTAAAGAATGTGCTGCTGACCTCTCTGGTCTCGACGGGCCTCGGATGGCTACGCAGGGCAGTGATGGCCTTGCGGTAGCCGAGCACGCGGAACTGATCGCGGTTGATCTCGTGTATCTTCATCAGCTCCTGGAGCTTGTCCGTGATGTGCTTGTTGTGGTTCACACTCTCCGTGGATGCTTTCTCGCACATGTACGTTGCCGTCTGTACAGGTAAAGAGAATTGACAACAGAAGCAGCAGCAGCAGCAGCAGCAGCAGTAGCAGCAACAGCAGCAGCAACGGCAGCAGCAGCAACAACAACAGCAGCAGCAGCAGCAGCAGCAGCAGCAACAGCAGTAGCAACAGCAGTAGCAGCAGCAGCAGCAGCAACGGCAGCAACAACATCAGTAGCAGCAGCAGCATACACGCAGACACAGTCATACCAGCATCGTCGCTCTCCGCACCTACCAAATGCACCATGACAATGGAAACAACAATACAAACCGACTGACAGTTGAATATACCTCAGCCAGTAGTGTGCATGGAGAAAACGGTTTGATAGTACATGTACCAGGATTGCCGGAAGCAGTGGTGAATAGGTCGTACACACACATGCCAGTCACACATTATGTGATACGCCAGCCACAAGCGGTGCCATACTCGGCAGTGAACGGCATTGGTGGGTAGGGATGTAGGAGGGGTTTTGGAAGTGGTACGACGGAAGGTCGGTGCGGCTGAAGGCCGTGTTGGAGGGGGGTCCGGGGGACCTCCCGCGGGAAAATTTTGTAAAAAAGACACAAGATCCTGCGTTCTGGGAACTTCTGGCGCAGTGTGCAGTCGAGTCGAGTACAGTAGACTCAGTACGACTGCGGATGCATAACAGATCTACGAGTACAAGTCTAGAAAAAGGTCAAAGTCTGATGCGCATATGCATCCTGATTTTTTTATTACGGTTTTGCACGTTCCGGACGGACCACACTTTTCGAAAAGTGGTACGGCCATGGTCGTACCAGTCGTAGCGGGTGCTACGCCCCTGGTGGGTGAATAGTTGATGCGGCTATGAGCGGATCAGCCAGATCAGCTTTGTCCCGTGTCAGCATGACTGTATACTTTTACCCTTTACCTTTTTTTGTTGTCCAATTTTGGCATTATGGTGCACCAGTGCCATTTGCGATAAATTGTCGTCACTGTCAGCGCCGTCATCGTGCCCTTCAATGTCTGATAAGCTGCTGTCTGCATTCAGCCACACGGTGTGCTCTGACTTACGCTTGCGACCAGCATATCCACTACCCACCACAGTGGCTGTTATCGGCAGCGGCATGTCAGCTGCCATTGCCGCAGTGGAATCTGCCACTGCCGCAGCTACACCGGTTCGAGATGAGCGGCTGTCATCGTCGGTTTCCACGCAAGGTGTTGCTTCACCCTCTGATTTCACTGCCGCTACAGCAGTGTTGCTAGTATTATTATTTTTTGCTGTGCCAGTATCAGCAACAACAGTGCTATGTGCTGAGCACGGAACATCAGATTTGGATGGGGCAGTTATTAGATACGGTGACTGATCCACTAAGTTGCAGGCTTTCAAACAACAACTTAGCCAGTCAGCTCTTAGTAGTACGTGTGTTTCACTCAGACAACCACCAGCAGACTTGATGGCCCTGCTTGCGCGATCATACGTCACACCTTCACCAACCAGTATGTTCACAACCTCTCCATTCTCAGACAAAGACGAGGCCTCCACATGCCGTCCGCCATTCTTCAGCAACTGCTTCACAAGAATCTCTTTTCTCATTTTACCATTCCCACTTTCCAAGACCGAGACAACCACGGAGGAGAGAAAAGCCATGATTAGAGTAAATGTCACCTGCACTCGTATCGTTCTCACAGTTCTTTGAAGGCACTCTTGGTTCGAATTTTCGAAAATGACATGGGGCAAGGTCGGGTTCCGATTTTTATTCAATGCGTTTCAGCTATCACTCTTGATCTTCATCATCCGTGGAGTAAACATGGTAAACCTGACCAGGCAGGCAGAGGACCTGCATCACGAGATCTTGCAGGTTCCTGACAAGAAGAAAGCTCAAGGGCTTCGCCTGTTCAGTATTCACACATGTGAAGAGATTCTTTCTTTGAAATCCTCTTGACGTCACTTGCCATTTGGCTGACATCATCACAGATCGTGTACAATGCTTGTGTAGGTTCGATTTCAGGCTTTTATTTCTAGTTCAGTTGGCAAGTCGAAAACATGATTCTCTTGTGAGTCTTGTAGTTTGTTGCATGGTGTACAGGTACTGTTTGTCTACACTGTAGAGCACCATTGGTCTAGGGAACCTAGTGCAGGTGAAATGTAGTCTGGGCGCTCGTTGGATGTGGAGATGCAATGGCGGAAGGAGGCGAGAGTGCATGCTCTAGCGATCTTTTCAAAGAGGAATTCAAGAGATATAAGCGACGAAAACCCGCTCCAAACTTCAGTGATGTGATTGATTTCACCAAGTCCTCATCCTTGATCAAAGAACATGTAAGTCTAGCAACAGTTTCGGACCTGTGTTCCTCTGAAATACATGCAGTATACATAGTGTATTTTATCCATTCTGCTAGTTTTCGAAACAATTCTGTCAAAGAATTGAATGAAAAATATTTATCCCCATTCATACCATGCTGCCCAGCACATTTCTTACACTGATAATAAACAGAATAGCCTACACATATGCTCATTTGAAATTGACAATGAACCCAGCGCATTTCCAAAACCAGGCATTCTTTGTACGACAAATATTAATATAGTACGCGGAATGCGCATTATGACAAAACGTGACTTCTGACATGTCACAAGACTGTAGGCACGGAGATGACCAATCGCATTGCACCTAGCAGGGCCTAGATGAGGCGATCAAAGCATGCTACAAGAAGTAGAACTCCATATTTAGTGGAACGGGCTTTGATTTTCCCATCAAAGCCCGCCCAGGCAGGCTTTGATTTTACGATCAAAGCCCGCTCCACTACGGCTTTGATTTACTGATCAAGCTCCCTTTTTTTTTTACTCGGCTGGGGCTCGAGAAGGTTGAGTCGTGCTTTCAAGCGCGATAGGAAGATCGAAGTGCGTGTTCATGCCAGAAATCCAATCAAAACAGTCGTGTTCATGTTCTATCAGCCAATCACAGCCCTTCACGAAGTATTTACAAGTTCGATATGAGTTTCAAACGTAGGTGCATGTCAGAAATGTCATCTAAACACTCGTGTTCGATCAGCCTGCATCACATGCACAGCCCTTCGCGCGGCGAGCTGTGATTAGGCAATCTCACACTCGTACTCTTGCTTAGTTCCATACGTCATAAAGTGACTTCGCCTGTACACGAATGGTCAGATCTGAATGGTTCCACTTTGTACGAATCATAAACTTTGACAAAGATCAGCAGTCAGGTCGCCAAGGTTTTACTACTGTTGGGGGACCCGAGACCCGGATATTGGGATCACTTTCTCATAGGCTGAGGGAAATTGCTGTTACCCCTCCACTTACAAGATCCAGTCGAGCCTGTTGATAGCTCACTTTATCACTTGATATAGAAGTGGTGTATTCTCATTGTATTGACCTCGTCTTTTCTCTGGGCTGTGTCTGTTGAAGTCTCTTGACCAAGATTCATGCAGCGATGATGTCACTCGCCAACTTTGCAGCAACTGTGGGCTACGATCTGTCGAGTCTTGGAAGATATTTCAAGTACCATCGCATCCCGGTGAGCTGACATACGCTGTATCGCAATTTTTCATGTTCCTTTGAGGTGTGCATGCCGAGCTGTATCAACGTAGAACATGTCTTAGCATATTGATGTTCAAGTGTTCACAGCTCACATGAGAGTCAGCGATACAGTGACTAAATGCTACATGTGTAATTCTAACTGTTATCTTAACCCTTTGTGGGCGGACTGTACGAGTAAGATCGAAAGTCTGCAGGCGGTAAAATCTTCGTAACTCCATCGTTTCTTGAGCAAATTCCACAATCGAAGGGTCTACGTGGTAGCGGAAACTCCAAGCTGTCCAATGCAACAATCGCCGGAGAGTTACGATGTCGGACGCCAGAGATATCGCACGCCGTATTCTTACCTCGGCAAATTCAAATTTTTGATCGATCATTTCGCCTTTTTGGGGGAAATCCCTTTTCGTGTGCTCTTTGAGCGACTGAGCACATGATAATGACGTAGCCGGCTGAAGTTTGAATCGTCTCAAACAGATTTGAGCGTTCTGCGATGAAGGAGAGTGGAATGGCGTTGATGGGACGAATTTGCTTGCATATCATGCTTGGAGACGACTTTGCTGTGTTACCGCGCCTGATTTGTGGCGGCTGGATAATGGAGATTGGTACCCTGGCGTTGCTCTCGCCAAGAGCTTTCCAATGAGCCCTTGATTGTGAAAATCAAGTGAAGGACACCAAAGTTATGACATGGAAAAGTTGAAAATTGTACTGACATTTTGTAATTCTGGTGCATACTGTGCTAGTAATCCGTCCATAAAGGGTTAAGGTGGCGATCTACCTTCGCGGATAGTCCACTGTAAAATACAAACATCTCAGCCAATTCTCTTTGGAATTAGGTCAAATTTTCTGGAGACATTCATTATGTACCAAAGGACAAGGAGCAGCACAAATAGAGGACAGACTCCGCTCATGTCCATTGTTATTGCCAAATCATGATAATTGGCCGCACCCGCACCTCTTAACCGCAAAATTGAAATATGCATCCATCAAGTAGAAAATAACCAATTGCTACAGCGTTCCTAACATATCATTCTAGGTATTGAATATCAAGAAACAGTTGCAAAGTCCTTTAGATCAGTCATCACCATGTCACAACAAAGCGTTTTGACGCGCGCATCCGCAAAAAAAGTCACGATCGGGTCCACAACCAATGTGAGAACAAGCAATGATGAATGGCTAAACGAAGACATTCACGAACTAGCTCATGCATCACAGAGCTCAGAAATGTATAGGTTTAGGGGTATAGCACCCACCACTTTGCCGCAATCGTGATAGAAAAATGCCGGATAGGCTAAAAAGTTACCAAAAACACACGAATAAAGGTCTATCCAATTCCAGCCTACCTGCCTACAAATCTTCACATCAGAAGCCATCTGGCTCGTAGGTGACCTCATTTTGGTCTCCTTGATGATTAGTGATGCTCTTCTTCAGTCTTCTTTACTTCTTCCTTGACTTCTTTGTCACTTCCCACAAGTTCCCAGCTCTTCCTGGTTGTATCACAATGGTGTTACTTAGTGCGGTGCCGAGCAGAAACGCGATGCTGTCTGGTTTCAATGTTCAGCTAGAGTCTTCATTTCTTCTCTAAGGCCTTGTTCAATCATGAGCATTGCAGGCAAAATCAAGTCGGTAACCCAGCCTTCACTGGTGGCCTCTCTCCATGGGTATGGCAATAAAGGTGCTGATGAATGAGGCATATCCAGGGTGCAGCCATGCCGTTTCCGTCACACATGACGGCGATCGCATGCGGTTGCAGCACTGCCACTTTGGTAAATTGCCTCAGGTCCAGCGTAGCATTTCACATGTCTGCTTCTGAACTCATCTCGGAGAACATGACCACAGGTTGAATAAGATCGCGTTGCCACCACAGGTCTTAGTATAAATGGGCGGTAGAATATTGAAAACTATGCAAAGCGTCACTGGCAGTGATGAATTCGGCGCATACTAAATACAGGCCTGTGGACTTCCAATTTGAAATTGAATTTCTCAGAAGTGAATGGACTTCTCTTCTCACCACACACAATGAAATCCCAAGGCAAATATCTGGGTTTGCCTGCTCTCTTAGTAGATCTACGATGGGATGTGGACTGGTACAGCTGACAGCATACTGATTTGACCAGAAATAGCAGAAATCACTCAATATTTCACAGACTAACTCCAGTAGTCTATATTTTGCACTCACTGTCTGACGCCGAAAGAGAGAGAGACAAACTAATCACCACAATAGCTAGACCTGTTGTTGACATCGTCATCGTCAGAGTAGTCAGAGTTGGAGATGAAGTTGAAATACGTCTTCGCTTGGCAATTTTTTTGCCAATAAATTTGAACAGCGTCGTCAACGTCAGGGATACTTTCCGCGGATAGATGGATACCGAGAGCTTCTGGCAGTCAGATTGGCTGCTTCGGACATCCAAGACGACGAACAGTACTCATTCCACCCGATCTTGGTGACAGGCGACGACGTGAGACGTCTCCAATAGACTTTCCAAACAGAATTGTTTGAATTCTTCACAAGTTATCGAATTATCGATTTGCGCATGCGCACTGTGTGCATGATGACGTAATATGTGCGTATTGGTATGGCATGAGTCAGCAGTGGTATTTCTGACAAGCACAGAAAATTTGAACAAAATCCACAAGGATTTACCGTGAAAAGGCCGATTTCTACTTTTTCCCCAAAAAGTTGCAATTGTGCGAGTCAAAGATACCGGTATGTTACACTCGGTCTTTGCAAGCTGATAGCAGCCATATCGATAAAGCAATTTCACTCAAATTTTCAGAGATGATGTCTGCGATCTATACGAGCAATTTGACACCACATTGGACGAAACCAGAAAACAGAATACTAGTACCCAGCTAGGAGGAAGTTCCTGCTTGAACAGCTGACGAACAGCTGACAAACTGCATTTTCAAATATTTCAAACATTTGCGCATGCACACTCATGTATCCTGTACCCATGGTTACGAATTTCAAGCTTGCAACATGCGCACCAGCACCATCAAGCTGTATAGAAAATTTGAAAGAAATCCCATGAGCCACACCGATCTTTCATAAATCCTTGCATTTTTTGAAATTTGTGAGAAGGATGTTTTGGAACTTACAAAAAATATCGACTATTGCCTTATTTTCAAAGCCCTATATCTCAGGAATGGGATGTCCGATCGACTTCAAATTTTTTCTACATGTATTTGGATATTTCCCGAGTGGTTTAGAAGCAAAATTGAGTGTTTGAAAAGAAACATTTCTTCTGCTTTTTTAACGGGTTTTGCCATCCCGTATTATTGTAGATGTGGTAATTGTCTTCACATGTTTCACATTTATGTCTGTCTTTTCCAATATGTGTATGGGCAGGGTTCTACTACATTGTAGATCCGTTCAAGGACGGATTTCATCGCCACTGGGTCAAGCAGTGCCTCAGCGAATACCCTCACTTGCCCAATGTGTCCAACCTGGATGCTCATTTGCCCGGTAGACCATCTGATCTGTGGCAAGATGCCCTACACCAAAGACAGTGAGTTCACTCAGTTTAGTCTAGGTACATCCCGCAGCGTGAGTAGACAGTTGAGGGGAGAGGGTGAGCGCCAACCGCAGCAGTACTGTATCAGAATGTAGTGCAGGGCTTTGTTCTGCTAGGTTGTATGTGTTGCTTTCAACGTAGTACTGAAGAAGTACACATATTACTGTAGTAGAGGCCATGTGATGTCTATCATGCGCCTGAAACAAAGGTAGTCACGTGCAACCCCATAAGATCTCGTTAGAATGGCAAAAACAGTGCAATCGCTTTTTTCAATGCAATGTATATGCACCTGAAGGAAATAGTTTGCTACTTAGGGGCATGATCGATTGGGCGAATCCCGAGCAAGTGTGCTCTGAGTGAGCGTGATCGATTGGCCGAATCCGGAGTAGGTTTACTTGGAGTGGAATCCGACCACGCCGGCCCCCACACCGGGAGTGGCTGGAGTGGAAATGGACTTTGACGTTTTTTGACAGAATCTTTGTACGATATGCGTACATTTTGCATACCACACCCTTGTTTTGTTCGATTGGGCCAGCGTTGCTCAGACTACACCGCCTGCTCGCACTCAATCCTGATTCGCCAATCGATGGCACCCTAGGCCAGGAGGGTCTGTACTCAAATGTTTCCAGAAATAGAACCCTTTGTCAGTACCAGTAAATGTCATCTTGATTTGATTTGCACTAAAAGTAAAGAAAATTGGGCCAACGGAAGACATGGGCCGTCTCTCCATTCACTTCTTACCGTACTTCCGCACATATAAGCGCATGTGCTTATGTCCGGATATAAGCGCACCCCTCAATTATAAGCGCATGTGCTTATATGTGAACACTATTGGTGAAAAGGCGGGAGCTGAATATACCACTAAGCAGTGTGATGACACTATTGTTTAGGACACAGACAAACCTTTATTGCGCATATAAGCGCATGGGCTTCTACCCGAACTGGTTACACAGCAAAAGATCTTTTTCGCAGCAAATTTTCGCTTATAAGCGCATGCGCTTATATGTGGGGAAGTCCCACGGTATGCATTACGGTATGCATTCTTACTACTCAGACCGTGACCCGACACCTCTACTTGTGCTGACAAGGCAAGCATCTCTGTCTGCCTCTTTTCTTGCTCTCTTCCTTGCGGCATCTCCCCATGCGTATCTCTGGGTCTGCTTCTGATAAACATGTTCAGGTCGGATCATGCAGGGTGGCTGTCGAGCAATTCTTTGATTCAACGCCTGCGCTGGGTTACCCTGGGATATCACTATGATTGGACAAACAAGGTAAACAACTGGTCTATTCCCAGTGGCTTGTAGCTACTAGTGCACGCATGTACAGCATTCTGATGGCAGTGAATGCTTGCTGTGGTAACTGTTCCACGTGTGGATATGTGTGTGAATTTAGAATATTACGGGTTAGTGTTTGTGCTTTTGCAACGGCCTTGTGTTGTGCAATGCGCTTGATGCCATCCTACCATGCTGCAAAGGTTGTTTTTATTGAGGAGCTTGATGTGGATGCCTGTATCAAATCACTGTGCTTCGCTCATCATAGCCCAGTGTTTCGCCTCCTGTGACGCCGAGACCTCAGGTCGGCAGAGTCATCAATGCCCCACCATCACTGCTGCGTCTCGGTGCAGCGCCTGCTCATTAGTTGTCACGTTTGTCCTAGTCTGTGTACCATTGTCTTTCCTTATTCTTTTTGAGCTGGTTATGTGAACATAGTAAAAAAACAAACGAACAAAAAAACAAACAAAAAACACGTAGTTATGAATTGTGTCTCCATGTTTTGTTCAGGTTTACTACAAGGAGAAGGTGTCGCCGGTCGCTGCGGACGTGGACGAGTTGTGTGGCGTGATGGCGCGAGTGCTGAAGTTCGATGAGTGAGTATCCACCGGGTCTGATATCCGGTTCCTGGATTTGATGCCTCTACCGTTTGCTAACTAGTTTGTAGTTATCAGGGTGCTTTTTTAGTAGCATCCTTTGCTATTTGTGTCTTTTGGGCAGTTTTTGCATCTTGTTTTACAAATACTCAGAAGGGGTTGTAACAACTAACTTCAGCCATAATTGAGAAATTGTGTGGTGCTTCCTATGTGGCTCAAACTTTCCTGTATTAGGAGCCTTGTATGAAGGGCCTTTGAAGGCTTGTCCCATGTAATGTAGACGCACCGGTTTCCAACGCAGGCCTGAATTTCAAAATGAGCCATTAGCACATACGCCTGGATCTGGTGTAGAAATTCGGTACCCCGTGAAACTTATCTCGTATTGAAACAAGTCTCGTGTAGTCTCGTGTCCGAGTTCATTCTAGAACTTAAAAGTCTGTGAAATTCTACAAAAAAAGTGCTAAGAGCCATGTTTTTTGTACTTGACTTTTCGGTACATGCATCATTACATGGATGTGTGGAAGTATACCTGTCTTTGCTATTATACAAGTAAATTTTACCTTTTTCTGTGGATTTTCTCCATGTGTTCTCTCTTTCTGCACCAGGTTCAAGGCCGAAGCTGGAATTGTCAACTTCTATCATCTTGACTCGACGCTCAGTGGACACACGGATCACTCTGAATTTGATCTTACTGCTCCTCTATTTTCCATCAGGTATGCACTTCTTACTGAGAGTGGTGTCAGTTAGTTGTGGAGCAGGCACTCAGATCTGGGTGAAGTGTTCCACTAGCTGAATCACATGCCGTGTCCACTCTTTCTAATTGTAAAGGTCTCGATGTAGGTGTTCAATTCTGCTATGCCCTCTCAACTCTTGGCTGGCTTGTCTCTCCGACGATGTGCTCTCCATCATGCAGTCATGAATGCCAACGCACCAATTTGCTTGGTTGTGGTGTAGTGGTGGCTTTGTCCTGCATGCAAAACTCTTTTTTCTGCCTTGTGCTGTGTCCGTGTGCAAACCTGTTCAGTTTCGGGCAGGACGCGATATTTCTGCTGGGCGGTCACGAGCGCAGTGCTCGGCCAGTGGCGATGATGGTGCGAAGCGGTGATGCAATGGTGATGTCGGGTGAGGCGCGCATGGCCTATCATGCCGTGCCGAGAGTCTTTCCAACCACTGTAAAGCCACTGGAGGTCGATAGTATAGTGTCGGATGATGAGTGGACGCCTTACGGCGAGTACATGCACGCGTCACGTGTCAACCTGAACATCAGGCAAGTACTGCGGCCCGGCGAGGGCTTCCCCGACGTTCCGTACCCGACTGCATGCACTGCAGCGGCCGCGTGTTCAACGGGAGAGACTCACGGTCGTGTGCCTGACCAGTGTGCTAGCTCAGGCACTGCTCAGGCCACTGCTTCTGCTGCTACTGATGTGACCGGCTCTCTCCCTCCGAGTAATGGGCTCAACAGTAGTCACATTGCACATGAACAAGGACTACCACAGTCCCCTAATGAAAGAACTACTCATGGCCGTGAGGCGGCCGAACCTAGCTGTAAACGCCGATTAGTTGATCTGTAATTTTTTTATATATTGCAAATGGCGGCAGCCCACCGTGTGCAATCCAGGCTGTGCGCGTGCAGTTGGCTCTCGCTTCTGCTCCCTGGTCTGCTTTTCTTTTTATCCAGTGTAGCGGGCTACACTTTAGGATAGTATCTGTGTGTGGCTGCGTGTGTGTGTGTGTGTGTGTGTGTGTGTGTGTGTGTGTGTGTGTGTGTGTGTGTGTGTGTGTGTGTGTGTGTGTGTGTGTGTGTGTGTGTGTGTGTGTGTGTGTGTGTGTATGTTGCCACTGGCTTGATTTAGATGAAATTAGAGAGGCGTGTTACTGTGCCCTTTCCTTCTATTCTCTCTCTTTTTTTTCTTACGGAGCATATGACTGACAAAATGATTTTTATCACCCTCTTTCCTATGATTGAACTTTAATTTTGCAGAAACATAGTCATTTGAGAGGGTGGCTGCGTAATCGACGTCGTGTTGACGATTTAGTATGCCTGTGCGTCGAGAAATCTTCAGTGGCCTCAAACGATCAAAGGCACATAACCTCCCCAGTGGAATGTCGGGTTACAGGTCTACGAGTCGTGTTTTGCATGTGTCAAGCAAGCTTGCAAGGAGTTGTCAGTTGAATACGATCCCTGATATTGTGATGTTACTTATTGGACAGTATTGATGTCCATACTGTAACAGACCCTGGTGTCGAATCGATCACAGAGTCACACTCGGTGTGAAGTAAGTTGTCATGCAAGTAAATTATGCATGAAGACCAGGAAGTGGATCTCTACTCCCGATCCCTGTACTACTGATGCCAGTGATGAAGACAAGTAAACTCCATCCATCATGACTTGAGCGACAAAAGTCACAAAACCCATTTTTCCGAATTGCAAGTGCGAAGCTTCGAAGGCCATGCACGCGCGGTAGATACGGTAGATCTACCATGAGGTTTCCAGCTGTTTGTATCCCGTCAGCAAATCAACGAGAAGCTGGCTCAGCTGATTTCTCTCTCTACTCATACCAAGAGTACATAACCCCGTACTCTTGCTCATACTAGTAGTTGAGAGTTTTGAAATGTGACTTTCAGTTTTACAGTACATGTACTTCGAAACAATCTCTTCAATTTCCAGAAAATATATTATTATGTATCTCTAAGTCTTGTAGTAATTAGTTGAGCCTGCGTGTCAGTCCTTTGCGGTAAGCAAAAGTAGCCCCGGAGGCTGGTTGGTGGCAATGGTTGTCATCGTGTCGGCGAGAAGGAAATTGTTCCCGTTGCTGCTGATAAGCGTGGCACTGTGCACACCGTTCTCCCACGTGGGTAGCAATGCGGTCGATGGTCAATTAGACCTACCGGACTTCGGCGAACAAGGTATGTCGCCTCGGCTCGGGATGCCTTCCAGACACTGGCAGCCATCTTCCACCATTTTTTTTACTGGTCTGCATCTTGAAGTCATTTCGAATTTCCACGACCATCAGCAAATATTTTCGGATTTGTTGCATTGTTTATTTATGCACAACATTCCGAAGCGACTGAAATACAGTCATGTACCTCGAAGTAGTCTACATAATTGCAGTGGTGCACATACGAGTTTAAAGTGATGGTACGAAACTTACTATAGACTATAGTTCGGTTGTGCATTGACAACGAGTAAGAAACCAGTAGCGAAACCAGTAGCGGCATGCCGCGCTAGTTCTCTTATCCATAGAAAGTAGTGGCTATCTGTTTGAACTTTGACCTTCAATTGTGCCCATTGGTGAATATGCCACTGCTCACTTGTCTTTCTGGAAATGCCAACGCTAGCATGTTTTGGGAACTACGCTGACTATACACGAACTACGTGTCTGCTTCGCAAGCTTTCTCAAACTCCCACAGCAACTTTTGACCGCCTCCGAGCATCCCGAGTACAACTGTCGATGATACGAAATCTAGGCAGACAAAATACCTGCATGATCATCATGTTTTGCCCGGCATGCACGTGATCGTTGCCCAAGCAAGCCCTGACTAATATCTGGCTTTTTTCGGCATAATCAGATCTTGCCTAATTGACGTCATTATTAATTTTTATGAATATTGCTGCCTTTGGAAGGTCGATAGTTTGACCTTTGACCCATAACCCATGTAACTGACGTAAGAAATCACGTTAAGGACACCCTTTGTCGGTCATGATGAAAGTGAAATCTTGCCGTTGAACATAATTATTATGTAGCACTCGGGACCTACGGCCTTCGGGCGGCGTCCTCGAGCAAGATTCAGCCGTCATGACCTCCAGATCGCGCTTGATTACGTCGTTTGATATGGTGTCTGTGTGTGTGGGGGGGGGGGGGGGGATACTAGTTAGGTATACCGAGAGCACTTGGGAGACGACACAAGACCATAACACCCAGAACGATGCCTATTTCAACCCCGGGGTCTGTAGTGTGTGTGTGTGTGTGTGTGCGTCTACGCAACATGCGATCACATCTGAGACTGCTGCCCGCAAACCTAAGCGCGGCCCGTAGACCAGTGTCGGCATACAGGCAAAGCATGCACCAATTGTCCCTGGCTCAAGGGCGACTAGAATGGGCAGCCCGAAATCGAAATCTACGTTTTTCATGCTCCCTAAATGCCATTGCTCGCCGTGCAATTGAAACTGCGTTGGGGTCTATTGGGGTGTTCTGTATCATAAAGGTAACTGGTAAGAACCTACGGCTGTCGTCAACTTCCCCCACAACAGCCATCTAGGCTCACTACTTGCTGTTTGTGCTTTCCCACACTTGGTCTGAAGTTCTACTGCAGATCCATGATCCAGATCTGCAGTTCACTGTTTAGGTTGGGAAGTGCAACGCCTCTGGGAAATGCAGAAGGGGGGGGGGGGGGGGTATGTGAATGTGTGTATGTGTACGTGTACATGTTGTATACGTGTTGTATATAGAGTCTATCCTATAGACTCATACAAGTATGGACTGGTGTACATGTACAGCAGGTGATGGGTGATCACGAGAGTCTTGGATGGACTTACGTGCAGATAGAAATGTCTGTGCTTGATCCGGTCACGTTGCCTGGGTGTCTATGTCCTGTTCTTACATGCACTATCTATTCTTGTTACACAGAAGATGCTCGGGCAGAAGAAAACTCATCTGACAAAGTTCCAGCGCAATGTGATGCTGAGCCAGGAAAAGACTGTACAAGAACCCCAGTCCACTACCAGGAGTCACCACCGGCCCAGGACTCCCCTCTGTCAGGGAACCATCATGCGGGTGCGGAAGAGGAGAGCAACCTAAACCCATCCTCTGTTGACGATGCCCAGAGCCTCGAAGCGTTTCAGCAAGCGTTTCTGACCGCCGCATCAATCGAGAAAGACGATGCAGAGCTTTGGGATGCGCCCATACAGCTTGTGCGACCCAATCCCAAAGGTCACGAGGAGCTGGAAATCGTCGAGGAGGGTCTCAAGCGCCTGGCACAGGTTCCGTCTCCTCTCGCCCTGATTGCAGTGGTGGGCAAGTTCCACACCGGCAAGTCGTTCCTTCTCAACCAGGTGATGCGCAAGCAGCGTGGCTTCGGTGTTGGCAGCACCGTGCGTCCCGAGACTATGGGCATCTGGATGTGGGGAAAGGTCAGTGGGCAGTTACCATGGTTACTGTATCATGCCTCCCCTCTCGGAGGCAAATTGCCACATTCCATTTTGTATTTTTTAATTAAACTATTTTGTGTGAAATCAGGGTGCCGTACGTCCATCAGGGGCGATTTTGGCCCGATTCTCCGTGTACAAAGGTGTGGCTCAAAAGTACAGCTCTGATCGTGGAAATATGGTACATGTTGTGTGAATGGAGGAGAATGATGTGTTAATATTACATGTATGCCATTTTCCTTCCGGTCTTCTCTCTGTCTCTATGGTCCAGAGTATTTCTGTTGTGGCAATGGCTGACAGTACTGCTTGTGTGTTGCGTGTGTGTGTGTGCTCGCGCTTGCCTGTATGTGTGTATACACGTGTGCACCCACATGCCTGTTTGCGCGCATGCATGTACATTGCTTGTGTTTGCGGCTTGCTGATTTTAGCCTATGACCATGACTCTGGAGTCTGGCGTGAATATCTCCGTTGTTTTCATCGATACAGAAGGTGAGGCCAAACTACACTTCAGAGCAAGCTATGCAAACAACTAGGCTGCCAAACAGCAGCCGTGCAGTGGTTGGGGGGGGGGGGGGGGTAATAGACCTGAGGGTGACCTGGGTGCACTCTTCACTGTGCAGAAGCTTGTTGAAAGAATTCCCCATCGCTTGTGAGTGCTATGCTATAGTATGTTTAGGCTCATAGAGATGGCTTTGAAGGGCTTTCTGTTTTACTTGGGCGACTGGACGGGGCAGTCCTGGATCATCTTTCCATATGTCATCTACTGCACAGACTTGTCTTATAGGTACAGTATCAACTTTAGCAGGCCCGCCGGAACCGATCCGGTTGGTCAGGTTAACACCGGACCAACTTTGTAGCTACCAACCCATGTTTACTGCTGAGGAGGGCATACATCCACGCCATACTATTCACAAAGTATGAAAGACCAGGGGCGTCGCACACGGTACGGTCACTACGGTATTGACCGTACCACTATTTGCCCCAAGTACCCCGTGAATCAATAAAATGCACTATTAAATTTGGGCACTAAATTTCCAATTTTTTCGGCTCAGCCATCCCTCCCTCACGAGTAAATTGTACTTCAGATGGCTGACCGTACCACACTAAAATACCTTCCGACGCCCCTGAAGACTATGGTAAAACCGGACCAATTGAAAACTGCTTCCGGCGGTCCTGTTTGGTCCATGCATATGTGTGCAGCCGTGCTTGTACCGAAGACTTCAGTGTTTCCTGCGCTCTCACTGTTCCCTTCTCAGGATTTGCTGCATCCAACATATCCGAATCCTACGATGCTAAAGTCTTCGCTGTCGCCTCACTGCTTAGTTCCTATCTGATTTACAACTCTGTGAAGGTAAGGTTCTGTACATTGCAAGAAGGTAAGGTTCTGTACATTGCCAGTAAGTTTTCCAGTGATTTACACACTGTACTCGTACGGCTGTTTTTCAATAGCAATCAGTACTCGCTGGGGCTGTGAAGTGGTGATGTGGACACGATCAGCCATTCACTTGGAGATGTGGTTCTGGTCACCAGCTGGTCTTGTGAGTCGGTGTGACAGGCATCCACGGTACGCGTACATGTATATGGTTTGATGATGTTGAATGCGTTTGTGTTTGAATTATGTTGTGCCACTGACGTATGTAGATCATTGATCAGAGTGATATTGATTACCTGGAGCTGTTATCAAGACGCACGCAGGTAAATCACTGCATGCACTGCTGCTGCTGCTGCCGCCACCGCCGCTGCTGCTTCTGCTGACCATGCATGTTTGCTGTAGCTTCTGCTTTGAGTTTATTCGTGTTTTATGATGTAATGGTCCAGTCCAGTGAAATCATGTCACTCACTACTGTTTTGCACATCAGATTGTGCGGAAGCGAATGGCAGATGTCGTATACGTACGGATTGCAGTGTGCATGCACTCCTCCATGCAGGTGTGTATATTCAAGGCATTGTGCATTCTTGTTCGTCTTGTTTGCGGTGCATGGCGGTACTGCCTCCCGCTCATGTCTCTTTCTGTGTGTCTCTGTGCTGCAGCTGTTTGCGCTGCAGTCACAGCTCAATGCGGAGAAGTATGCTCTGGAGTTCAACCACAACTTGCTCAAGTTTCCCTCATTGCTCTGGGTAAGGTCACTGTCGGCATTGAGTGATGGTACCGGCTTGTTTCTCCTGGGCTAGCCGTTTCAAAGAGTGAGAGATTACTGTGCGAATGAGTGCATCTGGAAGGGTCAAGCCTGACATGCTGTATTTTACCAGTTATAAGTAGACCTTCGGGCTTGGTTCTGAGAGTAGTTTCTCTGCTTTATGCCTCTGGTCTGTGTGTGTGTCTGTGTGGCTATGTGTGTGTGTCTGTCTGTCTGTCTGTCTGTCTGTCTGTCTGTCTGTCTGTCTGTCTGTCTGTCTGTCTGTCTGTCTGTCTGTCTGTCTGTCTGTCTGTATGTGCATTGAAGGTCGTGCAAGACTTTGTACAGGCAGGTCTGAGTGGCAACGAGGGCCAGAGTGCACAGGACTGGCTCAAGCAGTTGATGAGAACCTCTACTCGCGAGCAAGAACATGAGATCAGCTTACTTGGTAGGGTCAGTCTGGACCACACTCTTGCCCAGTCGTCCCTATTTTCTCTATGCTATCTCCACCGCCATGATTGGTGGTTGTGGCCACTATTGAATGTTTAAACCTGGCACGACTTGAAGACACTGTGGTTGTGGTATCAAGTTTGTGCTTTCCTCAGTTTCCTGGCGGCATAATTTGGCTAGTGACTGTTGTATGTGTGTTTGTATTTATGGATTCTCCACAGGCCTTAGCCTAAATCGAGGGAATCTCCGTTGTATGTGTGCTTTTCCTGGGTTTCTTGTCCAGACATCTTTGAGTCAGTCGACTGTCATACTCTCTTCCTACCTGCTATCAGGAAAGTGCTACTGGAAGACTTGTCGCAGGTATGCCACTGTGTGTCGAACACTGCTGTGTTTTCCGGTTGGGTCTACCATGTCGTTATTGTGTGTGTGTGTGTGTGTGTGTGTGTGTGTGTGTGTGTGTGTGCGTGTGTGTGTGTGTGCGTGCGCGTGTGTGTGTGTGTGTGTATATATGCGAGTGCGCGCGCGTGTGTGTGTGCATGCATGCTTGAGTGAGTGCATGTGTGTGCGAGTGCATGCATGGCTGCTCTCTGCACGAGCTGTGATGCGTAACACAATACTGCCAACTGAATGCACACAGGATCAGTGGCGTGTGACATTCAGCGTGCTGATCAAGTGAATTGCATCTGTCAAATCCTATATATAGGATTTTTTCAATAATCATGATCATGCCACCACCCGGGAAAAGTTGTGTGCCTAAATTGAATTGTATTGTAAGGTGTTAGGGCAGCATCAGTTGGCTCTCTTCAGAAGTTTCCAAGAGTGCCAGTATTATTGCTTGACTTATAGAGACGTTTTAGGGAGGACATTTCAGTGTTTTGACTGATCCTATATATAGGATATAGGATTTGAATGTTCTGCATTATCCAGAGTGTTGTAATGGATGCAGATGATGATAAAACTGGCAGGGAAAGCAATATAGAAGTGCTCGGTACACTGAATAAGTACAAAAATACCATGAATAGAAGTCTGTGAATGACTGAGGAGTACTTCCACAGGTTGACACATCCAGTGCTTTTAACTGTACTACGGCGGAAGTTTCACCTGGAATTTTTTTCTGATCGGCTTGAAACTCCCATGGGAGTGCATCGAAAACAGTTCCAAACACCTCATAAAACTCATTTCATCAATTTGTATAGGTTTGTATAGGTTGTTTATCAAAATCCTTTAGCCAGAAACCCAATCCTATTTATATAAGATTTGCTGGTGACAGTTTAAGAGATACACTCAAACGTCTCTTATCCGGATGCCTCAGATACGGGCACGTCTCTCTACCGGGCACCTTCAGCTTGAGATTCTATGGCAAAGTTGCTTCGATTTAGGGTTTTTGAACTTTTTTCCGTATGCGCAAGTGTTCATTGGTCACTGTCAACCTGTGTAATCCACACATTTCCATCAGTAGATTCTTGTTTATCCTGAACACGAGCAATAGCTGCCAAAGAAACTTCATCAAAAAATGATATGATACATGATTAGATGAGCTGCCGTGAGATACGGGCAGATCTGAGATACGGGCAGTGCCCGGTCCCAAGGCGCCCGGATAAGAGACGTTCGAGTGTACTATAAACCCGGAATCGTTTGCGCCTGTTTTAGTTTGCGATTTGCGATGACAGACCATTTTGTGCCTGCAAACGCTTGCGATTGGAGTCAATTTTATGGTTGACTCGCGCCCACTTACTTTCGCGATTTCACACCCATCGCGAAAATCACGAATGCTTCAGCATCGCAAAAGTTTCTGGGTTTACAGTAGCCAGTCCTTCAGGTTTACAGTAGGATGCCGTCATGCATGGATACGGTAGAAACTTTGAAGTTGGCTTGCAGACAACGGTTGCCGTAGTTTGTAATGCATCCAAAGCAACAGCTTCTAGTTTCACATTTGAAGTATATACAATCAAGCAAGGTGCAGAGGGCTTGATGGCTGATCAAAGCCTGAGGGCTGGGCCCGAGGGCTTTGCCTGTACCTCGCTTGAATATTCTTCAGATGATCCCACACAGCGTTCAGTCGGTTTTTGTTGTTACACGGGCAACGTCGAAAAACACACTTCTTGATTAGGTGCAAATATAGAAGTGAGCTCAAGTTTGAATATTCAAAATCGGAGTTATTTATTAGATTATTACTAAATTATTAGTAGTGCTGAAACGATCATACAGATTACCGTATTTCCCCGAATATAAGTCACACCTTTTTACACAAAAAAATCCAGGGTAAAAAAGGGGTGCGACTTACAATCGAGCATGACTTACTACTGAAGTCAATATATCAAGAAAAATATTGCTCAAACCTGAAAATGATGGGTGCGACTTATAAAGCCTAGTTCACATTCGATGGGGCGCGACGGGACGCGACGTAAGGATCGACGGGAAGCGACGGGACGGTCTGACGGCGTCCAATGTGAACACCAGGAACGGGAACGCAACCGTACTACCGTACAGATCGGGAAGCGACGGGAAGAGTTGGATCGATCCAACTTTTCATACCGTAGACGGGTGTAGACGGGGACGCAAGCGTACAAAACGGCTGCAATTTGAGTGTGAACAGGAGACGGCGTCGTGCGCCGACTACTCCCGATTCGTACTTAGAAATTTTTAGCATTTCGAACACTGCGCTTCCCATGATAACTCACAGAATGGCTAGCACAACTTGAGTTGAATTTTAGCAACATAAGATCTCATGTCACTTATTGTATTTAGGGATAGTTCAGAAGCGTGACAGACGAACTATTCTATCATTTCCTGGGGCTATTATTTGAATGCCACAACTTTCAGGACTATTTTTTTTGTCTTCATGAAAAACTGTGAACTTGATTCCGCTTCTTTCAAGGAGAAATAATTGAAAAGAAGTCCCGAAAAACGAGAAAATAGGTCCGAAAGTCACCCCGTCATAGACCATGCCTTATGACTCCCGCCGTTCGACGTTGAACGTCGCAACGACTGCTGCATGTCGTGTCGTACGAATCGTACAGGATTTCACAGCTCACCCCAGCCCTCCCGACAAGCCCTTACGTCCCGTACCGTCGGCGTTGCGTCGAATGTGAACTAGGCTTAATTGAGTGCGACTTAGAATCGGGGAAATACGGTACTCGTTACTTACTCGAGAAGAAAAAGATCGAGCGGTTATTTCGATTTTATCGGCTAAACGAGTAGAATGGTACTGGATCTCTGTGCGCGATTTCCCCTTTTGAATGGTTCGCGCAAAGTGTGCATGTGCCGAAACTTTGATTATTGGTATTGGAAAAATGTAGATAAATAGGCCTTGCAGGTTAGCTCGGTTGAACAAATTCGACATCTGCACTGAGGATGATGAGGGGCGATGGAGCAGCTGTTGGTTCTGCTGGTACTGGAGAAGACAATGACGATGAACCTGGCATTGGCAGCGGGGCTAGGTCGCCGGAAATGTCGTCGTCAGTTAAGCATCAGAAGCTGGTCCACGGAGTCGGGAGCAGCTGGAATCAATGCAGAGCCGGGACTTGTCACGATCGCGAGGTCAGTTGGTGTAAAATCACTGAACAATTGGTTCACCTGATCTGGCTCGAGCTGCAAACTGGATGCCGATGTGCTGATTGCAGTGCTGCTGCTGCCTGTGGTGCTGTCTAGACACACCGCCATCTTTTGCTGTTGTTTCTCTCCAGGTCTGCTGTAGCTCAAGAGGGGTTGAGCATTTCGGTGGCCTGTGACGGACATGATGTCGTTATCGAAAAACCCGTTTTCCTGCAGGACAGTGACTGAAATTTTCATGCAGCCACCGACACAGTAAGCAAAGCACAGATTACATTTTGAAGTGGACCATTTCTGGTCAAAATTTTCTGACCGGTTTCGCTGTCTAAGGCAGCTCATCAGAGTGGCACGGAGACAGTGATTGGCGTAGACTTTGGAGGTTCCGACCTTCACACTCAGGTTTCGCATCATCTTGTCAAGGGTGTTCTTCCCGAGGGGTGCGTTTTTGAACCAAACTGGATCTCGCGGCTGGAGGTTCCTTTTGGGACGCTGGAACAAACGGTCGTATGCCGGGTTTAGGTGTTTCAGCAGCATGCAGACAGCCAACACTTGACTCTGGCACTGGATGCAGCCAGCTTGTTTTGATGTGGTATTGTCACCAGAGCCACCTTGGTGATTCTTTCTGCTTAAGTCGATGCAGAGCTCGTAGAACCCTTTGCCCTCCCTGTCCTTGCACAGGGTCAAAGAGCTCTTTGCCAGGTGGCACTGGATTTCTCGGCCGCAGAGACCATGATGAAACGTACGGTAAAACCACACTTCCATATTGAGGATGTGCAGCTCCTTGGAATACAGAAAGAGCTTTGTGATTAGCTCTAAATCTTGATCACTGAGGATGGATTTTGATTGAGTGGCCATATGCTCTCCTTCTCTCTTGAGCTTCTTTAGCATGCCATCGTAAGCCTGGTTTGCTCTCCGAAATTCCGGGTCGGTGAAGATGTTGATGCGTCGGTCTTTTTCGGCAAAGTGGCGATTGATGGCTGCCCTGAAACCCTGGTAGCTGCTCCTTTGATAGTACTGTTTTTTTGGGGTTTGGATACCCAGGTACGCTTTGCATCGGGCATCGGACAATTCCTCTTTTCCACACGTTTCCAGGCTGATGGAGATGCCATTTTTGGAAGCAGATTTCAAGTTTTATCCAGCCTTCCGTGGAGGATGCCTTCCCTTTCGGAACTCACAAGGTAATCACGTCGCTGACTTCTTCCGCACTTACTGATTCAAACCGACGCTTTGGGGCTGGCTCGCCACCAGACTCTGCCATATTTGGAGGAAACTTCTATACAGTAAGGTTAGATATTCTAACCACCTCCTAGTCAAAAGACACGATTATGAGGGTGCACATGAGCAATGTTTTGTCATACCAGTTGCCCCTGACAGCGGGCTTTGATGGTTTTCTTGTACAGGTTGCCCCTGATAGCGGGCTTTGGTGGCAAATCAAAGCCCGCTCTCCGAGGCTGCTGATTGGTCGCAACCTAGCAAAGGGAATGTGGGTCATTTGAAGCACAAATTTAAGTTTTATAAAAATAAATTTCGACATTTGCACTGCACTCATAAGGCACCATGATAGCCAATACAATGCTTGCTACTTTTTTTTGTTGTTACCTGTGTGTGTGTGTGTGTGTGTGCGTGCGCGTGTGTGTGTGTGTGTGTGTGTGTGTGCGTACGTGTGTGTGTGTGTGTGTGTGTGTACGTGTGTGTGTGTGTGTATGTGTGTGTGTGTGTGTGTGTATGTGTGTCTGTATGTGTGTGTGTGTGCGTGCGTGTTAATCCAGGCTCATGAAGAAGACTTGACAGAAGAGTACCGAGCTGAACGCGATGATCTTATCGAGAAGTTGCGGCGTGGTCTTGTAGCTAAGGAAAGAAATGGTATGTGTCATTAATTTTGTCAAAGGAGTGAAGTTGTTGAGTATGGGGTTAATTTGAGGTAGACGGGGATGGGATGGGATGGGATTGAGGAGGTAGCAAACTGGCTGTGTGTAGTAGACAGATCACCAGCGGATATCTCATGTTGCACACACACACACCTGTCCTGGCCTGTCCTGTAGAGTCACTGCCGCAAAAGGGTCACGTGATCCCATCACTGGGAAACTTGAGAAGAGAGAGAGAGAGGACACGACGCTCGATGACGCTCCAGGTGCACGGGTAGTCGCATCCGCTTGCCGCATATGCACACGTGCTGGAAGGCTGAGCGCTCCTCTGCTGTTGGTCTATGCGCCACCCTTGAACAGCGATGCCTGCCCCGTCCCCGGACACCGCGAAAGCAGCAACCACACCTGTCACAATGCGCGGCACAACATCCCTCCGCCGGTGCCGACGTTCCGGTAGTTCCAGGTGGCACTGCGGCATCCACCGTTGAGGCACACACATGCCGGACCAAGCCACCGCGGCTTCTCAGCCACCGCCCACACCGCCCGCACTGACTGGCGCCCCGCTGCTCAGACACAGGCCGTGCACGCTCCTCCAGACACTTATGCCGAGCCATGTCTCCTTTCCGTGCAAAATCCCGTCCGCATACCGTACATACCACTCGGGGCGGAGGCTCAGGCACATTGTCAGGCTCTTGGTAGGTGCTGCGCCACTCCGCGCGGAACTCACATGCAACATCATACCATGATGCCTACGCCACTGGCGCATAGATCCCGGACAGCACAGTCCTTCCATCTGCGGCGTGGGCCATGTGCTGGGCGACGCTGCAAGAAGGAGCCAAACAGTACCTGTTTTGGGATGCGGTTGTCCGGCATCCGCGCCACATGCCCCAACCACTCCAACCGCCGATGTGCAATTTTGTCTTTAATCGTCTCGGAGTCTCCCCAGCGCACCAGCAGCTCTTCGTTGGTGATGTGTTCGTCCCACATCCGGCTTCGAGAGACCCCGAGGATGGATCGGATGCACCTCATGCTGAAGGTTGAGAGCTTCTGCAGGTCATGTTGAAGGGGCGTCCAGCACTCAGAGCCATACAACAGCAGGGACAGAACGCAAGCATTGAATACGCACCGCTTGGTGTGCATCAGCAGATGTGGATTGGAGAATACAGACCTCCGAAGAGCACCGCAGGCCCTGGAGGCTTGGGCAATCCTTGCGGCTATGTCCCGGGACGAACGGCAACCGCTGTCCACTACAGAACCGAGGTATTTGAAATGCAGTGCGCATTCCACCTCCGCTTGACCAAGTTGGAGGGGAGCGCGGTCAGTAGGCGTGATGTCGGGGCCAACAACTACAAACTGAGTCTTCGTTGCACTGATGGTCAAGCCGAATCCCGACGCCACCTCGTGAAGACAGCACAATGCTGACCCCGCTCCAGGCCGAGTCGTAGCGAATAGACAAGAGTCGTCAGCAAACTGGGAATCTGTTAGGCAATGGTGTTGGTCGTCACGGCGGGGTTTACGGTATAGATCGCTGCTGTATGCTGAGCGGAGCTCGAAGCCAACCCCGTCAACTCTCCTGACGCGGTGTTGCCACTGGGTCATCACGGCCCACATAAAGATATTAAAAAGGACCGGCGCCATAGAGCACCCCTGGCGAAGACCATTGCCAATGCTGAACGGGTCTGATAATATGTTGTTGAACTGCACCGATGCTGACAAGGGGTCGTGGAACGACCGGATGATGTTGATAAGCTTTTCTGGTACTCCCGCACGGCCGAGGACCTGCCACAGACACCCCCTGGGCACTGAATCATAGGCCTTTTTCAGGTCGATAAACACAAAAAACTCCTTGGCCTGATGTTCGATTGACTTTTCCATGAGCTGTCGGACGGTGAAGATCATGTCAGAGCAGCCACGCCCTCGCCGGAACCTGCACTGGGACTCAGGGAGAAATTCCTCTGCGAATACCTGCAGCCTTCTCTGAAGGACACTCGCCAAGACCTTGCCGACCACATCCAGCAACGCAATGCCCCGCCAATTGTCGCACTGCGACAAATCTCCCTTCTTTGGAATGGGGATGAGGGTAGCATCCGCCCACTCCCGCGGAACGCAGCCATCTCGCCACACATCTCCAAACAGCTCCATGAGCTTGTTGTTGAGCTCCTCGCCACCGAACTTTAGCAACTCTGGCTGTATCCTCGATGAACCAGCAGCGGTGCCATTGGGAAGTCGAGAAATGGCCTTGGAGATCTCATGCATGGTTGGTGGTTCCTCAAGGCTCGACACTACAGGTCGCTGCTCAACGCAAGCCATGATATCGGGGTTGTACGAGCTCTCTGGGTTCAGGACAGATGTGAAATGCCTCTGGAACCGCTTGCATTGATCCTCAGTCGACTGGCACAGGTTTCCATTCTCGTCCTTAATGGCGGAAGTCTTGCACGGAGTTAATCCCTCACATGCAGCGTGGATAGCATGAACACATTTCCAGACGACTGCCCCGTTGAAGCGCGCCTCTGTCGCCTCCTGTGCCTTATTCAAAATCCAAGCCTCTTTGGCATTTACAACGGCTGCGCGCGCCTGCGATCGAGCAGCCCCGAAGCTGGCCCAATACGTGTCGCCCCTCTGCTGACCGTGGGCAAGCCACTCCGCGTAGCACTCATTGCGGGCGCGCAGAAGGGGCTGTATGGTTGCAGAGTTGTCATCATACCAGTCGGCCTGACGGCGTTCGCTCGGGCCCAATACATCAGCGGCTGCGGCAACCACGGTATTGCGCACATGGGTCCACTTCTCCCCAACGCTACCATCGCTGCTCCAGCAATCTCGCAAGCCAGCAGATAAAGCGGCACGATACTTGTCCGCGGTGGTCACGCAGCGCGGGGGGCGACGTCCCACATCGTTGACGTCTCCACACACACACACACACACACACACACACACACACACACACACACACACACACACACACACACACACACACACACACACCATATACATCACCATAATTTCCCAGTAGCTTTCCTAGATTTTGCTTTGGCTTCATACAGGTATTACTATTAGATCCCTGAGAGCTCAACACATTTTCTATGCATAGCCATTTTATTTCTCTTTTCAATAGACGTTTGCTTGTGTGTGTTCTGTACATTCTATAATATTATCTCAGGTGTTCCCGTTGACGGTGCAGAGCTGGCCTTGCTCATCAAGTTGCTTGTCACCGCTGCCAATCAAGGATCTCTTGCTGAGGTAGCATATGACTCAATGGCATCCTGGATTGTATTCGATAAAACCTGTAAAGAATCTAAAGATGCAATGCTTTATGGTGTTTGTCTAATCTAGTGCTGCTGCTGCTGCTGCTGCTGCTGCTGCTGCTGCTGCTGCTGCTACTGCTGCTGCCGAGTGTGGGCAATGGATAGGCAATGTCACACGCAGCACTGGCACTGCAGTCCTATGTATCATACTTATACATGTCATGTTAATGTTTTGGAGTACTCCTCTGTTGCTGGTTCGGTGGCATTCTGTGTGTTCAGCACTGTATATTAGAGAGGTTCCGCATAACGTTATTACGTTAGTAAAAAACGTAGTCGATCTACGGAAAGTCTTACGTAAACTGCATGCGCATCTGGGTTCCGCCATACGGAGTTTTCAAATCACGTAGCTGCCCTTGGCAACTCCGAACATGGCAGTGTACGACCAGATCGACCTGGGGAGAGAGTCATAAATTTGTACCCCAATCCACTTACGGACCAGCTACGTTATCAGAGCCCTATCTACGTACTCTCCGTAGACAACTTTCCGTAAGTGGAGTGCAAACTCGCGAATTCACGGGTTTTTCCCGCCCACTAACGTAAATTTGCTCAACTTTACGTAGTGCGGAACCTCTCTTTTATTGTAGCTGGAATACTGTAGCTGGTGTTGACGTCATCGTGTGTGCCACTATTCCATCTTTCGTCTTGTGTAGATTCCTGGTCGCTGGGGTGCCTTCACTCAACACCTGCTACAGACTGCTTACCACGAGTGTCTGAATTTCTTTGACGCTGAGAGTGATAAACTGCTGCATGGTGGTCAGCGAAAGAAAGGTCAGTCCAGCCCCGTCGGCCTGCCTGATTGTTTTGCCCTGGTATGCTGTGAGTGACGGTTCAGTGTTGCTGCTGCTGCTGCTTGCTGTTGCTGCAACCGGACAGAGGCGTGTGTTTGGCGGTTGGGTTCGGGTTTGCTCGGCTAGACCTTGCTTTGCTTAATTCTAATTTGTGACGCTAGTGCTGCTGAAGTACATAGGTTAGAGTGCATTGCTAATAGTTAACCATCGATTATCTTCTGCGCTATTTCAGGGGGGGGGGGGGGGGGGGGACTCAGTGGTTTCTGACCGATTCTGACGTGTCTTCACTGGGTACATTTTTTTCAGCAGTCATACTTTCTCTCTAATTGAACCAAGTCAAACCTGATTTTGCAGTATCGCAGTCGAGTCATTTGATTTTGATAGCCAGCCGAGACCAATTTTGTTGCTTGGCTTCTTGCGTGCATTTGTGTCTGCTGCTGTGCCCCTTGTCCATGTCTGATAGGATATCTTTGTACACATGTATGTGTTTTTATGTGTGTGTGTGTGTAAGTGTGTGTGTGTGTGTGTGTGTGTGCGCGCGCTCGCATGCGTGTGCGTGTATGTTTTTGCTTCATTTGTCCCATTTTCGATTTACTGACATGCTTTGTGGACTCCGATAGCTCCATCATCGTCAACGGCTCTAGGAAACGCTGCATTGCATGTGAGTAGAAGACTAGAAATGCAGAGAGTTTTCGTTACATCTGCAGCCTGCACTGCCGATCCGAGTGGCTTCATAAGCTAGAACGCACCCGGTGACAATATTCGAGTTGCCCCGAACTGTTAGAGAAGACAAACGTCTCATAGCATTAAATGATAGTATTTTTGTTTGTATGCTCAAGAAATTTTGAAAAATGTTTTGAACTGTTGTTTTCCTGCAGACATGGTTCAGCGCAACTGCTAACAAGACGTTGCAGGTGATGGAGAGACTACTTATTGGGTAAGTGCAGTGTGCGCACACACACGCACACACACACACACACACACACACACACACACACACATTCATGCGCATGCACACACGCACACACACACACACACACACACACACACACACACACACACACACCACATTTCATGCGCATGCACACGCTCACACATCTTACGAGAGCCTCTTGTACATGCAAGTTCGCGCACATCTTGCGAACATCATTTTCGTATTCTTCATTGGCTAGATTTTGATGCAGCAAACATTTGTTATCAGTTTTCCTACTAGGCTGCAGTTAGTACAAATCCATTCAGCCATTCCGGTGAAAAAAACCTTATACAGTGTAGCTCAAAGAAGTCCGATTGCGTGAATCAAGTTTACACCCTGCAGCAGTTCTCATCCCAGTGTTCGCAGGTCTAGGGCTGGCAGTACCCGGCGTGGCATTCACTCGCTTGATCTGATTTCATTGAGCAGCACCGTATTTACAATTTTCCACTTTTCCACACAAACAGCTTGATTTTTGGCGTTCGGTTACTTTTAGCCAGCCCTTAAGAAAGCGCTGAATGACTTGTGCGAGATGCATTCAGCCGTACTATTTTTTGGCCTTTTGTTGTGGTATGATTTGATGGTATGGCTCTCGGAGTTGTAGCTCAAGGTGTACCCATGATGTTTCCACTGAGCCACCCGCTCCGTTACTGCTTGCTAATAGAGAGTAGTAGCAGTAATTATTTCCTTTCAATGTGTGTGTGTGTGCGCGTGCATGTGCTTGTACAAACATATGTGCATGTGTGCACTGTTTACACGGCGTAGACTAGGAAGTAGCTTGAAGCAGTCCACCGTCAGAGTGCAGAAGGCCCTGTCTCGCCGGTATGACACTATCATTGAGCTGAATGCTCGCCGCGTCGACATTCTGTGCCAGCAGACTCAGCGCAACATCGAGGTGAGGGACCACTATCATATCCACTAGGGACTATTTATGCCATCTAAAATCCTCTTTAAGGATCGCAATAAACAGAACCAGCTGAAGCGACATTATACGAAGGATTATTGAGTTTGTCACGAACAAATTCTACAGAAAGTGGTGATGAACAAAGAAAGAACTACGGCGGAAATGTAAAGTGTAGAACAATAATAGGAACGATGAAAAACTGCATTGAACTAGCTTTCGCACAATGCTCATCAGGAAGCATCGTTGTACTGGTTGACAAATTTCAACACGGAAACCATTATAGAGAAAGTATGTGTTATTTCTCACTATAAACCAGGCCCGAATGTACCTTGGGAGTGCTCCAACTGACAAGTCAGTGAGCTCTGCGCAATGCAAACAGTAAAGGCACTACCCCACATGAGAGCGCTCAATTACTACAAAACACGCGCGCTCACGCATACATACATACATACATACACACACACACACACACACACACACACACACACACACACTCTCCCCCCCCCCCCCTCCCCCCCCTCTCTCTCTCTCTCTCTCTCTCTCTCTCTCGCTCGTTCTCTCATTCTCTCGCTCATTCTCTCTCTCTCTCTTCCACTGTTTGTTTACCCTTGTTTCCTCGCAGGTTCAAGTAGAGCACGAAGCCAGCAAGCTTTCTCTACCCCAGCCGCTGAAGCATCTCAAGGATCACCTGTGGAGTATCGTCGTGGAGCGAGGGTTCAACCCATTTGCGTAGGTACTCGAGTAATGAGTTGCAGCATGTCTTTAATATTCCTTGGTACTGTCCACTGAAAAGCTGTTCAATGCCAACATCTAGAACGTTGCTGTGTATTTTCCTTGCCCTTTTCTGCAGCAAGACTCTGGCGCATATCAATGATACTGACTCGTACAGGACATACAACAGCTCCCTGGAAGTATGTATAGTGTGCTATGAGACAGCCAGTGTCACCGTTGCTGTGCGGTGTGTGCCAGCTACAAGCCTACATGTAGTTGGTGTGCCCAGTGTTCATACTGCACTAGATTGTGTTTGTAACAATTCACAACGGTGACATGATTCCAGGCATGGTGCGCACTGTATACAGTGTTATAAGGTGCATGGAGTGTTGGGGTGTGTTGTCCCTTTGGCCACTGTCTTCTCTTGGCTTCGCCGCCCACAGGCCCGTAGCAGCCCCATTCTGGTTGGTCCGGCAATATCCGACTTCGATGCTCCTCCCCCGAGCCCATACTAGTATATACTCATACATATGCCGGTACATGTACCAAATGTACATGATTGTATGTGTACATGTACAGGTATGTAATTGTGACCATGCAGAGTGACTTAGGGTGAGAAAAGGAAGGACGTTCTGCATGAGTCAGGAAAAAGGGCATCAGCATGTTGTGTCCGTCCAAACAGAACTTGTTGAAGCCTACGAAGGCATAGCAACAGTATCTAAATGCATGTGATAAAAGAACCAAAATGTACCTTTGGAGAAGGAGAAAGGATATTGCAATGGAATATCTTTGGTACAAACCCTATATCGAAAGAATTGGAGGAAGAAAAGAATCAATACATTTCAAGAAGTACAGTGTAGGAACATTCACGGGCATGACTGTCCACATGACCTTCAGCAGGGTCATACTCCTGATGACATGTAGGTATACTACCAGCACTAATACCTCTATACTACCAAGAGTACATAACGGGGGGGTTATGTACTCTTGATACTACATATTGCACACATCATCATGGGTGGACATCCTGAGCTGATCACATGTGTGAGCTCCCACTTTTTTTCTTTTTATTTGGCCGAATATTGGTCCGGCAGCTGCCGGACCTGCCGGACCGCCTGCTACGGCCCTGGCCCACTCTACGTGTGCATTCCCCGCTGTGCAATCACTGGTTCTTGCTGTGTCCAGTCGCCGGCTCATGCGTGCCTGTCAGGGTATTGGCCCGACGCAGCAGAGCACATCACTGCCTGAAACTTCCACCCTGCTTGTCAGTAAACATGTTAAAATGCTGATTGCTATGCGCGGCTGTGTTGCTCAGGATATCCTCTCTCGCACCGTGGACAAATTCACGTCCAAGAATCGAGAAGCATTCGTGGACATGCTGAACAAAATCGATCAAGATGCTGTTGGTGAGCCAGAAGTCTGATCCTGTGCGTTGCTATACATGTACTGTGTTCATGCATGCATGCATGTGGACATACATGTGTTACTTCAACTGTCCGACTCCCTCGTCTTTTCTTCCGCGCCATTCTCCCCAGCAACAATGTCCCCCGTGACCGCACACATCATCTACTAAACTACATTTGAAGTCTACGTGGCAGCAGACACTGCGGGAGAGAAACTAGCCTTGGTAGATGTACAAGGGAGTTGAGAGAGGTTATGACTTATGAGTGGGCTTGAGTGCTTATGAGTGGGTTGGCAATGGTAATGAGTGCTAATGGGCTGGTTGGGAGAGACTTTGAGTGGGCTGGGTTTCTATGATTATACTTTTAAAGGCCCTGGAGATTATCTTAAACATTCTTCTGTTCTCTTCTCGTCATCTCAATGTGTGTTCACTCGCAGCGTTGTACCACACTGGCATAAAACCAGAACTTGTCCGCCCGCTCACCACCAAACAGCTGCAAGTGCTACAACGCGATGAGTCTGACAAGGCAACACAGCACTGGGTGGAGGAAAGCGTGGCGGCCAAAGATGAACCGGACTATGAGAGGTTCAAGTCCTCTTTCATGGTATGTAGCATTATGCTGGAAGAACGATGCATGTGCAGATCTACACACATCCAGTCTGTACCCATGGGGTGACATTTGTACTGACATCAGCGTTGGTTGTGGCACTGGCCAAGTCAAATTGCAACAAGAAGTACAATATTAGTATGTCATTACGAGGTATGTACAGTAAAACCTGGTGTAAGCGACCTCTGGGTTTAGCGACTACCTGCTCTTAGCGACCGTTTTCCATGCACCGACAGTTCTACACAGACACGGTGGGACCTGGTTCTAAAGACCACCTGGCTGTAACGACCGCTTTTGCTTGCACCGTGGGGTGGTCGCTTAAACCAGGTTTTACTGTAGTACTTCGAATCATGAAATGGTGGTACTGAACTGATATTGCTCTTGGCGCTAAGTCTGGAGAACACACGTGCCTGATCTGTACATACAGCAGGCGCGTAGCCACGTGCACCCCCTAAAACGTTCCACCCAGGTTCAGCATACACATAATGACCATGATGACATGCACCAGCCATCCTACACGTATGATACAATGCTTTGGTGAATCGGCCGTGCACCCCTCCCCCCCCCCCCCCTCCCCCCCCCCCCCCGAAGAAGGGGACCAGCTATGCCCCTGTGTAACATATGTACGTGTTTTCGTGTTTTCCCCATGCACAGCATAGCCTGATGGCGGCCCAGAAAGAAACGGGAGCTGCCAATGAGAAGCGTGTCAGAGCTCTGTGTGATTCCACGGTATGTGAGTGTCTTTGCCTACGCATGTAAGCGTGTCCCTTTCTGGCTTGCTTCTTGCCAGGAGACATCGGCGGCTGTTGAAAAGTGACACATCAGTTGATTTTGGCTGTTTATCCAGGTGGTTCTGCCAGCTGCTGGCACTCATACCAAGAGTCCATAGCCCCAAGAGTGTCAGTTGGGTTCCTAACTGTCAAGCAAAATCCCCTTTGATCTAAGTAAGAACAGAGTGAATTAAAATGTGAGCATGGAGCAAATGGAGTGACTACACATATACGCATACGACCCAGCTCCAACACAGAATGTACTGTAGTTGACTGCCTATGCCTTTGTGTATGTTCACCTTTCCTGTTGCAGGTGTCCAGTGTGCTGGATATGCTGCACGAGCGCTTCAACTCCAAAGTGATCGCATTGCCGACGAATGAGTCACATATCCAGTCTCGGTTAGTGTTCGTCATGTCAATGCTATGTTTAGAGAGATGTGTAGGCATTGTGCACTCGGTGATGAAATGGGTATGAGACGAATCCCACCGCACTCTGAATAGCCGATGAATAGAGGCATGCACTCGTATAAATGTGTAACAGGAAGCATACTAGCAGCTCCAGTCGACACAACAAATCAAACTCACTCCTTCTGGACTAACCAAGAACTGAGGGGAAACCCTCGTCGTGGCCAGCTTCATATTTCAGAATAAATGCAGGGAGTCATATTCGACTCCCTGCTGTGTTCAGAGTACGGTGTGGGAGGTAGAATAAGGGTGTGTAGAAATAAAGTGTGTTCCTAAAGGTGGATAGTGTGTAGAGAAATAGTTGTCCATTATGCATGAATAATAATAAGTAATTCGGGGATCACCATACAGAGCATGCAGAAAGAGTGTAATTATGTGATTGGAAGGCCAACGGGAATGGGAGAAGCAGTCTCTAAGGCCATTC